ACCAACCTAACAAAAAACACGAGTCCAGATAAAAAAAAAATTAACTGTATGTTTTCAGAAAATGTAAAATTATTTCTAATCCTGTTAAAAAATCAAAATTTGATGATTTATAAAATAAAGTTTGTTTGTTTTCTATTAAAACCGCGATTAAATTTGACAGCTGTCCAAACTTTGTATTATTTTTTTAAATCTGGCAACACTGTTCCAAAACAGTAACATCTAATTTAAATCACAATAAACACGATGTTAAAATTTATATATTAAGCTTTACTGTTTCTATAAAATAAATTGTGGTTGAAATATTTTTTAGTTTCTTAAAAATAACAATAACATTTTATTTTTGGTTAAATTTTGATTTTTTTTTTGGTATTAATTATATAAATGAGCTGGTGCCCGCTTGTTTATAATGAATTCCTTCTGCTAGTTTAAAGAGATAATAATATTACTATATTCATTCATATTCATAGTAAAAAAATATTTGTTAATTAACCAGATTTTATGTTATTATATTTTAGTTTGTAATTATTACAAACATTTTGTAGATTTAATAAAAAAATCCTATATCAATAATGTTACATAATTCTTGTAATTTTCAAAAAGGACCCTATTTTTACAAAGCTTTTTGTAGACCCAGTAACAAAAGTATTTGTTGGAAACTGGAAACTTAAATGAAAAGAATTTTGATAAGAAATTTTGCTTTATTAATCAATTTCTTAAATAAAAAAAATTAAATTAACCCTATTTGTTGGAAACTGGAAACTTAAATGAAAAGAATTTTGATAAGAAATTTTGCTTTATTAATCAATTTTTTAAATAAAAAAATTAACATAAATAAACACAAAAATAACATAAACTCAATTAAATAACATACCATTCTGAAATCATCAAATTATAAAGAAATTTGGTACAATATAATTATTAGTACTACTACTACACTTACTGCTGTATTTCCGAATAACAATAATAACAGATTTCTGGTAAAATATTATAACACAGTTGTTACCACCACATTACGAATAAGAATAAAGTAAGCAGAAACATAAGTTGCAGACGAGGTCAGTTGATTTTTTGATGCGTATTGTCAGTGGGAAATGTTTTGATTGACTGCCTCAAGTGTACTTTTTTAACGAAATAATTTGTGGTTTTCTACAAAAAAATGTTAATGTTACAGAATAAAATTAACAAACTATAAACTTAAAATTAAAAAAAAAACTGAAATTTTTTATACTTATTAAAATAACGTTCCCAATAAATATTCAAACACCCAAAACAAGTTTATTTGGTAAGAAAAAAATTAAACATTTAGAAATAGTAGAAAATATATGCTATAAAATGTTTAAAATTAAAGGTGCTTTTTGACAAATTGACTTTAGTAAATAAAACATTTCTTAAAAAAACAAATAAAAAATTTATATTGTTTTTCTCCTTACATTCGTAACATATATCTTCGAATAGTTCCTATTACTTCAAGATTTATGTACCCTTGTATGTAGTATATCTTAAAGAATATACAAAATATGTAGTTACTTTTGAACACATTTAGTTGGTTCAATTTAGGTAAAAATTGTTTTTCCTTTGCATATTTTTGCAACGCTTAAATTCTGCTTACCTATGCACATTTAATTTAATATATTCACGATTTGTTAGAACGTAGCTTGCATTACATATTTTCCCTTAAATAAATGATGTTCTGCAAGATTATTTTTCATAAAAAGACGCTATGAAAGGTTTCGACTTACAAGAAAATTTATTATACCATTTCATAAAATTTACGAAACATATTTGTCAAGGACTATTAAATAAATAGTCAACGTCCTCTGTATGAAATCTTATTCAGTTTAACAAATTTATCCATGTATATACGAGGTGTGTTCAGAAAATAACGGAAATTGTTAAATTTCGCGGCTTCGGAGGGTCCGGTTGTCGTAAAATTTTCTTTATTATGTTGGTAAACATGCCCCCGAAGTATGATAAAAACTTTATCTGTTTTCATTGTTTACTTTGTCTGTGGCAGCCGCTAAGGTTAGACGTGTTTTATGAGCTCGGCGATTTTCGTTCGTTAAAAGAAATGGATCAAAGAATTTGTATCCAATTTTGCTTAAAAAATAAAATAAATTCTGTGAAATGTTAACAAAAGCCTATAGTGAGTCTGCTATAAGTAAAACAAGAGTTTACAAGTGGTATAAGAGTTTCCAAGATGGCCGTGAAGACGTTGAAGATGACGAACGCCCTGAACGCACAAGCACATTAACAACCGATAAAAATATGGAAAAAGTGGAAGAAATGGTTATAAACCATCAGAGAAGTCGCTGATGATGTTGGTATATCGATTGGCTCATCCCATGAAATTTTTTCGAATGTTTTGGGTATGAAACGCGTGGCAGCAAAATTTGTTCCAAAATTGTTAAATTTTGAACAAAATGTTTGGCCAAAAACAATACTGTAATGATGCCCCCAGCCTCCATATTCGCCAGACATGCCTCTGTCTGACTTTTTCCTATTCCCAAAAATAAAGAGAACCTTAAAGGGCCGTCGTTTTGCAAGCATAGATGACATTAAAAGCGCATCGCTGAAAGAACTAGAAAGGCTATCCCAGATCGAGTTTTAGAAGTGTTTCGAGTATTGGAAGAAGAGCTGGCACATGTGCATAATATCCTATTTTGAAGGCGACAACATTAATGTAGACGAATAAATAAATATTTGTTTCAAAAAACGAAAATTTTCTGAACACAACTCGTAGGTATTCCGATAAAAACCGCTTCACAAACACAAACAAAAAACAAACAATACATTACATATGCAAACACAATAAATTAAATTGTAGAAACACATCCTTATAAATATGTATTACCATGAAGAATAACTTAATTAAATCACACTATTCAAATAAAAATTACCAACATCAAGTTATCTATATTAACGCCGTTGCCATGAGAACGGTAAACAAGTCGCCTAGCAACCTCATAATCTCGCCGAACAAAGATATATAACCGAAAAAATCAAGCACAATAAGCTAATTTTTTTACAAAAGCTTTTAGCTCAAGATGGGCGTTTAAAATCCTATTTGAGCTGAAAGCTGCAAAAGCATTGCTTTTTTGATTCAAGACCTCTTACATGCTGTTTCATTTACAAAGAAAAAACGCGTTTAATTCAAGTGTGTTGGGTCTGGTGCAAATTGAAAAGCTCACCTGGAAGTGTTAGACAGCTTTATTGCTGCTAAACATTGTTTAAATATACAATGTACTTGTATTAGTATATTATGTATCAAAATCCAGTAGGCGAAAAAAATCACAAATTGGATAAAAATGTAGAAAGAAAGTATCGCTAGTAGCGCCACCACTCGGCTGTTATCATCGTAACAAAAGTAAAACTTTTAATAATCAGCTGTTATGTTACAAACGTGTATTACTGAGAATAAAGCCAGAAAAAGTTAAAAAAATAGCGAAAAAAAAAACCGTGGCTCGATTTGTTGTATTGTGTATTTCGAGAGGAAATGCTAGGTTGAGTTTTACCGGTTTTCCAATAAACAGTGTTAATCTGAATGAAGAAATAAATTGCATACAGTCTCTGTAAATATAAATTGTACCTATTAGATACAATAAATACACATTTTAGTAGTGATTAACGTGAAAAGTAAAACCATTTAAATTCAGTAAAAATCGTCAAACAAATAAGTCGTCTAAATTTAAACAGCATTTAGCATTATTAAAAGCGTTAATTAAGAAAGTCCACTCAACGGTAAAATATTATGTATTATATATAAAATTATGTTGCCATCAATTCGTAGGTATATTTTAAAAAGCAGTTGTCGGCGTTTTTTAGAGAACTCAAATATAAAAATGGTTGATTTTAAGGTTATGTTTGTGCAAAAATTATTTTTTACTAATTTCTTAAAAATGTCTAAACTTCAATATAAATTATATTAGGTAAAGTTATCATTAGTTAATTCTGCACCAACAAATGTACTTTCCGAATTGGATCCTTTGGCAAAACATGAAAATGCAACGATTTAGTTCTTGGATTTTATTTACAATTAAAACACAATAATTCACCATGATCTCTTAGATAAAATACACACACTAACGTAACTATATAAGCATTTAAGCGTTGAGTTTCTTAATCAATGATATTAGGAATAATCAATCAAAATCGAGTAGTTTTTTAATTTTTTCCTTGCAACGTAAAACACAAATATCGTGCGCGATTTAGCTGTGCAATTGAACAAAATTTGTCGAGTAAGACTTCTGCCCTCTCTTTTGTGAAAAAACTACTTATTTATTTAAAAATGATGTACAATTCGTATGATTCAAATGTATTGTTGACAATTCTTAAATTCACGCAATGCTATCGAAGTTTACCAGATGGCGCGCGCGTTGCGAAAACCCGATACTTCTTTAGCGTATAACGAAGTTAAAAAGTTTTTTGATTTTCAGTTGCATAATGAGTTTTTACGGCCTAAGCCATAAATACCCTAATCGATTGGTCTAAATCATTTTTTAGTGCCTAGGCCATAATCGATGTATTTAGTAACGAGTGCTGACAGTTTAAATTATAGAGCGATTGAAGATAAAATATTTCCGCCTTTTAATTTTTTTATTGTTGAACCACGACCCAATGAAGTAATTAGTGGATTTAAGACTTCAAATATTATTTTCTTACGAATCTCCTGTTTGAGTTATAAAAACGAAATTTCTACAATTAATGACCGGTGTTGCCACATTTATTACGAAATTAACTGCACGGATTAAAACTTCGCGTTTCCGGATTTATTAAATATAATCCTAGCGGTGCGGAAAGTGGAAGTTTACTTTATTTATCTGATTTTAGGAATCCCAAATACATCTCCGAGCGCGGTTTCACCCGGTTTAAACTTTACCAATTTTAGCGACCCTACTTACACGAAATTCAAATTTTAGGATACGTATCGTCGAAAAACAAAAGCACATAAAATGCGGAAACGTGATCCGCATTTATAAGGTGCATCCAGCAAAAAATCAAAATTTATTATTTTCGTTTATTTATAATTTACAATCATTTTTTATTTACACAGTAATATTATGACTTTTACAGATTTTCATCGAAAATGTTTTGTAGTTCATTACATTTATCATTATTTCCAAATAATGTGACTGAAACTACACAAAGGACATCTCTTTGGCACTTTTGATCACACGTTTGTTTGTTGTCTGAGTTCCTAAATCTGAAGCTAAAACAATGTTTAGTATGTGAGAGTGAGGGGTAGGAAAGGAATGGGGGTTAGTTTCCCCTACACTTACTTATTAAACTGCTCGAGTAAAGTGTGATTTTTAGCCATCGTATACAGCAAATTTCCTACTGTTTTTGGTTTTAAATCCGCTAGGTTATAGGCCTGTTTGAATGAATAGAGTTTGTACCAATTGGGGCTTATTTCCGGACTTAAATTTGCTTCTGTTAGGTTGAAAGTCCATTCAACTATATCGTTAAGGGTCTGAATCATATAAATTAATACTATTTATTTTATGGTAAAAATGTTTCTTACGTAGGTTTCATTGTTAACTTCAATAACCTTGTAGCTTGGGTTTGAATCATCCCAAGTTACCAACGAAGCTCCATTATAGGCCACATTGACAGCTTCAGAGGGGTTGGATTGGTTAAAGAAAACCTGAAATTCATCCATATGTGTATGTCCATTAAAGTGACCAGTAATAGTGTTTGCAAATCTACAAAACAATTGTCAAAAATACTGTTTAAATCATCTAGCATTCAGCACCTTTGCACAATCTTATTGAACTCCCTACTCCAAACTTGTAAACAAGAACCGTCACCGCTAGGTACGTGAGATAATATATGCACTGACTCGCCATTTTGCTCGCTTTCAAGTAAAGTTTTTGCTAACCAACTTAGTTGATTGTACGGGTCAAAATCGTCGTAGATAAGCCACCAATTCAAAGTGAAACAAACGTTACTATTTAATACTATAATTCTAAAACCCGGCCTAGGGGATACAGTATAGTAACCTCCATCCCTAATTGTTTCTAGAGCACTTTTCGGTAACCACGAGGACCATTCCTCGGCCACCAAATTGAATAACCAACTTGTGGATATGTTTGGATCTGTTACATCTGTAGAAAATCTAAAAAAATGTTTTAATGAAAAATAATTTGATGTATATCATGTATAGTTACTGATTCATAGGTGTAGGTTCATGATTACCCAGAATTGGAAAAAACTGGCACCGAAAATTTGTCTCTAAATAACTGATAAACTTCTTTGATAGCTTGAGTGTTGGATTCTATAGAGGTAGACCACACTCTATGACTTATTATGTCCCCAGTAAAATATACAAAGTCAAAATCCTAAAATATACCATACGATTATTTTTCCCCCTTCTGTAACAACGCGTTTACTCCATAAACACACTTACATGATTCTTTACTTGCTTTAAAAGTTCCTCAACAGTGTGCCAGGGTATATCGGCGTTTTTATATTCCGTCCAATACCCACAAGCATCAGAACTATCTTTGGGGTCATCAGAATCGGATTGGCAACACAAGGCATCTTCGCATGCAACGTTTTTACCCGGTGTGTACATTGGATCGTAGTGAAAATCGGATAGGTGGAGGATGTTGAAGTTTCCTGAGTCAACGCTTGGCTGGAGGTAAAATGTGTTAACGCCATTGGATTTTTCGAGTTTTAGTTAGTATACCCTGAAAATTTGGTTTGATTCCAAGTGTAAATAAAAAACTTGTCGGTAGTCAAATCTGGTGATTCTGGTGGCCCAACGTTATTTGTTAGGAGATTTTAATGAAAATTTTCAGGGTATACTATGAAAAATGCGCTGTTTTTAATGGTGTTTACCTCTTTTTTATCAACAGTGTGTCCTTCGGGTATTTCTATCTCCCATTCAAAATTATCACCTTTCGGACAATTTCTATTTTGTAATAGTGCAGCGCAAATTCTTTGCCCGTCTAAATCTTTTTTGTGGTTTGTAATATACCAAACAGGGTCCTAAAATTGCCATAATATATCAATATAAACCAAAACTAATTTTCGTGTTTTTTTACAAACCGCGTTACGTGCTACAAAACCATAACAAACTTTTCTACTTTCTATACGAAATAAAGTGCACAATTCACTATTCATTAATTGCAGCATTTTTTTTCGTCGCTCCCAGTTTTTTTTTCTGTGAGTAAACCGTTCATTGCTAAATTACAAGCTTTGCAAATTATAGCATCCTTGATTTTTAGTTTGCTTGCCTGGCGGAAGAGGTGTTTAAAGTTAAAATTTTCCGTGAGGTTTAGCAAATAATTTGGGATAGTTTTGGTCTTAAAATATTCTTCGAGTCCTTGTTTGAATGTCTCAAAATCATCTAAAAATATAAAGATATTTATCTTCAATCAAAAACCTCCTAGGCTGTAAAATACATTTGACCAATCGGGTAAAGTTTGCAGTCCGTTTGGACCAATCAAAAAATTCCTTTACTGTCAGATTTATTCCAACCTCACTTTCTACTTTCAATAATTGTAGGTTTTATGTATTGTTTAAAAATACATACTTCGACTGTTTTGCTAAGTGAAGAAACTCACCATAAACTGATTTAATAAAGATTATTTAAAAAAGGATTAAAAAAATTTCAATTACCTAATATAGGTAAATTAATAGATTAATAAAAAAATGTACTTACCATTTTCATCGCACTGTACTGTCCCTATAATTAATAGAAGCAAGCAAAAAAATCGCCACATTTTTGCTACAATTATATGTACACTACTACACATTAGCTTTATTAAAATCTCATATTTATATGTTTTACGTATTATATAATATATTAAAAACTATCTAATCTATGCTTAAAAAGGTACTTCACATAATTATTCAACTATTTATTAGGACACTGATAAAAAAGCACTTAAAATTACAATATTAGTTTTGTAAAAAATTCCATGACCATTTTAACACCAAATTAACACCATACATGGTCTATACTGCCCTACTATGGAAAAGGCAGTAACTGCTAAACAAGAAATTTGTGGAAAATTGGCATAAACTACATTTTTATGAAAAGCAGTAGATATTCAATTGATTTTTTTAACTTATGAGATATTTGCCTGTATTTCTGACAGAGCTGTCAGAAAAAAGTATCTTAGTTACTTTAGAGTAACTTAGTTACTTTAAAGTATCTAAGTTACTGTATCTTAGTTCCTTTATTTTTTTAACAAAAAGTATCTAGTATCTTAGATACTTTTTAAAGGGAACTGTATCTTGTAACTTAAAAAAAGTATCTTAGATACCAAAAAGTAACTTAGATACCAAAAAGTATCTAAGATACCACAAGAAAAGTTCCTTTAGTCAAGTTGTTCGAAACGGCCGCGGCCATCGAAGTTATTATAATAAGTATACTGGCGACTTCAGCGACTGGCGCCAATCGACTGGCGGCGATTTTTGTTATATTTGTTATATTTTAAAAGTGCCTAAGTTAGACACTTTTTGCATTAGACCCTTCAATGGTTTTAATCAACTAGATTTTATTGAAAAAAATTGTTAAAAAAGTAAGCTTAAAATTATTTGAAAAATCAGGGTGGGGTTGGAACGAATTTTTGTTGGGCGGTTTATACGAAACTTATTACATAATATACAAAGTAACTAAAAAAGTATCTTATTAAGTATCTTAAAAAGTAACTTAAGATAAGTATTTAAGTTCCTTTTTTTAAAGAGTAACTAGATACCCAAAGTAACTTCGGATACTTTTTCAAAAAGTAACTTATCTTGTATCTAGATACTTTTTAAAAGTATCTTTGACAGCTCAAGAAAACGCATTTTGCATTTTTTTGCAGTTACTGCATTTCTCCATAGTAGGGCAGTATATCGATACAAACCAAAATGGTGTTAAATATGGTTCGTTGGTCCGGTGTAAATTCAAATACTAAAATGGTGTTAATTTAACTTTCACACAGTATTCAAATAAATTTTACCTGGTGTAAATTGAACTCCTTTTCAGTGTTAAATATTATGTGTTTGTGGTCAAATTAAATCATACTACACAGAAACTCGCAAACTTATATTTAACCTTAAAATCTAAATATTTTCTTTGCGAAAAATCACTGAACACAATAATAAATGGAATTTTGGATATAGACTGCTTAAATGCAGAAAACATGGTTACACAAATTAAACTAAAATATCCAGATATAACTGAATATTGGAAAGACTCTTAAAAATCACGACCTTAATAGGTTTAAATATATTTCTGAAAGGATCACATTTAGAAATATAAAGTATGAAAAATCTATGTTCGTATGTTACGAAAAAGACGAAGAGGGAATGTATTATTTATGCCATGTTAACAATATTTTAATATCAGAAGACATGTCAATTCCATATTTTTTTTGTAAAAAGATAAAAATATTTTACAATACAAATACAGTGGTTTTTCATTTAATTTCCGCAGAATCTGAAAACTATATCCGTATAGAATTTAATGACCTTATTTGTGTTGAAGGACTTATTAACGTAACTATAGATAATCATAATTTATTTTATTTTAAATCAGCTCCCTTTGAAAATTTTTAAAAAACGATAACAAATAACTTTAACTAATTGGCTAAACACTTACATACAAAAAAATTTTTATTATCACTATAACGCACCTAAAAACACTTAAAAATAAATCTTACTTATTATATTTACTATAACCAAGTATAATAAATATAACTAAAATTAATTTATAAATGAAAATTTGTATGTAAAATTGTAAAATGAATTATTTTCAAGTGTTTTTTAGGTGCACTTTGGTAAAAAAAATAATTTCAAAAAGCGACCGCAACTCTTTTTGGTTTCAATGATAAGGCTTAAGCAGTTTTTTTTTAAATAAACATTTAAAAACAAAGAAACTAAATTTCGGTTGTAACACTTATGTAAAATGGATTTTTTTTTTAAATTTGAAAATATATTTTTTACCTTTTATTTGTATATTTATTTTAGCATCTAAAAAGTTGGACGTAAATGGCTCAAAATTGGTATTAGAAAAAAACGGGACATTGGTAGAAGACAGTACTTCAATTTGTCAAAAATGAAACTCTTATACTTCTTGATCCTCAACAAGATTGGGTTTTAACTAATAATGCTGAGTTCTGAAAGCAGTTACTTATATCAGTAACTCAGAACCACTTTTGGAGGATATAGTCACTAATGAATTTGAAGCCGTTGACCTCAAACATCGAAAATGAATCTCCTAATGTCATTCTTTACGAGATTGTTAACTGTAATGCCGAATCAATATGGCAAAATTTTAGAATACCTTTTGAAAAACTTAGTGACGATGAACTGCGAATTTTATAAGGAAAAATGCACAATCCCAGATTAAGACGAAAAGTAGTTAGCATGGTTGTTGATGAAATGAGAAACATTAAAGCTTACATACCAATGAAGGCATTCAGATATATTGCTAAAAAAATTCTGGACAAATTTCCACAATTCTTTAAGGACGTTGATGAAGATGACGTAGAATTGGGCGATGGCACGTTTTCTCTAGTAAACCAGTTGTACGATCGTAACAACTATCTAAATCGTCCTCATATATAAAAATCTGAAGATTTATCGTTAAATCTGAAGATTTACCGTTAAATCCATCGAAAAATCGTAAAAGTCTAACAGGATGCTATAATTGGGGTCCAAGTACATCCACTTCCACCACTGATGAAGAAACTTTAAAAAATATTTCTAAAACAACAAAATATGGAGATTGTAACTACACGGAGATTTTGGAAAAAACTTATGCCATCATAAGAAATTTTTTAAATGCAGGCGATCCAACGATTTTCGAAATTAAAAAAGAATGGCCTATTTTGTTCTCTTCTAATTCCATATTTTGGCATTTTCAAAAACTCACAGGGACAAGTATACATTTTTTAGACCAATTAAAGGAAAAGTCATCAAAAATCCTTAAAACAATAAAGTATGACAAGAAAAAGGATATTTTGTATGAACGCGTTGGTCCAGAACTAGAAATTCTTGTTAGATTGTCTGAACATTTTAAAGAGGATATTAATTTATTCTATGTAGAGAATAAGGTAAGAAATATAACATTTCTTAAACCTAAATCTTAAGATGTTAATAATTTTTTTTATTGGTTATTAAAAAAACCTTTTTTTAGACAATCGATATTGAGGAAATTAAAGATAAGCTTCCCCTAAGCCCATTTCTCTTAAAATGTGGTAAGTTCTACTATAATAAAATTTTTATTAATATATAAATTATTTAAAAAACCTTTATATTTTTTTTTTAGTTTTTAGAAACTACCGGATTATACCACGTATTTATAGAACGTGAAATTGTCAACATGGAAGGCTACAATAATCTTTTGATGGGGTTTAAAGTTGCCTTTGCTATGTATTTTATTTTAAACCCAAGTTACCCAAAAAAGCTTGAAACCACTCTATAGTTTATTCAAAGATATTTTCTCAAAATTCATCCCGACCAAGGCAACAAAACAAAAAAGTTAGCTCATCGAGAAAGAAGATATTCACTGTAATGAAAAATTTAAGTAAATAATTAAAAATAATTATATTTTTGTTAAATAATATTAAATGTGCTGATAAGTCTTAAATACAAACTTAAATGTATATTTTTATTTTATTTTTTATTTTTAAATGCGATGGTAAACATATAAGACAAATATTAATATTAAAAATATATACATTAGGGTGTCCCAAAAAAAAAGAATATATTTTTTTTTCTTGTCTCTTGTAAAAATATGTTAGTTTATCATGCTGTAAGAGCCCTTTTAAAATATCAGCTCGATTAAAAATTTTGAAGGGGTCGCTCAAGATTTTTAAAAATTTTCAAAATCGTCAAAAATTGAATTTTTGTTTTATTTTAATTCTTTTTCTCGTCTCGATATTATTTTTTAGGTTGAAAATAATAAAAATTCTGTAAATTTCAAATCAATATTTTGATTTCTAAAGGTCGCTAAAAGTTCGTTGATATTTATATTCAGAGGTCGCTTGAAAACATTCAAAATACTCTACTTTGAAAGTTAAAAAAATCTTGAGCGACCTTTAGAAATTAAAATATCGATTTGAAATTTTCAGAATCATTATTATTTTTAAATTAAAAAATAATATCGGAACGAGAAAAAAAATTAAAATTAAAAAAAATCCAATTTTTGACGATTTTGGTAATTTTTAAAAATCTTGAGCGACCCCTAAATTTTTTTTAATGGTGCTGATCTTTTGACAGGGCTCTTAAAACATGACAAACCAATATATTTTCACAAGAGAAGAGAAGAAAAAAAATATTCTTTTTTTTTGGGACACCCTAATATACATATATATGGGGCATTCCACGTTACTCGGTAATTTTTGTCCCGCCCGTCACAATTAAAAATTGTGAGTAAAAACCACAAGTTATAAAATTAATATTTTATAATATTATTTTTATTGTGCTTATAACTTATTAAAAGCATAATAAAACAATATTTTTAAATAAATTTTATAACGTGTAGTATTTACTCACAATTTTTAATTGTGACGGGCGGGACAAAAATCCCCGAGTAACGTGGAATGACCCATATGTATATATATGTAGAGTCCAGATATAGAGGGCCCACTATATCTGAACTCAATTGTATATAATATATATATACTATATATGTTTTTTTTGTTTTTTTGCAATGTACTTAATTATACCCATTGCATTAAAAAAAGTTATTTATATTATATAAATATTAGGTATTAATATTATTATTATAAAGATTTTTTTAAGTTTTCAAATATTATTTTACTAGTTGTTTCTATATTAAACATTTTTTAAAAATGGTACACATTGTTTTATTTACTAGAATACATACCTACTTTTATGATATTATTTAATTTAATTTGCTAATAATTGGGAAATATATATTTTTTGATTTGTGACATTTTTGCAGTAAATGAGTAAATTCTAATGTTTACTAAATTCATTTAATAATAATTCTAACAAAATTAGATTCGTTTTTTTTTAATAGATAATAGCCTTTTTCTCGAATCAGTTCGGAACCAATTCGGAACTAATAACATGCCTAGTCGCTATAAAGACTGCGCATGCAAAATAGTTCTGAAGTGTTTCCGAACTGGTTCAAAGGTAATCCACAAGTTATTGTTATATTATTGTATATTAAAAAAATCGTTTTTATTTCTGAAACTTATAAAGTAAAACTTTTAAAATTAAGGTTTCTATTAACAAAAAATTAATTTGTAAATTAATTTTTACAATTTTGTTGAAATATTAGAAAAACAATAAAATTTCCATTTTTATTTCTGAAATTTACAATATAAAATTTGTAAAATTATGGTTTTAATTAATTAAAAAAAATACATAATATATTATGTAAATTACTTTTTAGAATTTTTTTGTAATTTTTCCGAATATGTTATAGCCACAAAATTACCAACGATACGTTGTGTAAATTTACAAATCCGTTTTATCAGTGTACTTTGTGATATGGGTTTCGAGAAAAAGGACCTCGCATCCAAAGATCATTTTCGATATATTTTATAATAAATCTAATCCATATATAAACGCGTGCAACACAATACAGATTAAGTTTCATTCAAAAATTGTTCTTAAATTTAAGTTTCTAAAATTTTGGGGGGATTAACCCCCTCATCCCCCCCATTCACCAACTAATTACACTGGTCATGTACAATGCACTTCCTATATCTTTATTAATTTTTGAGATATTAAGAAAGTCAGATAATTTATGTTTTATTTCGAATATCTTCAAAAATAATAGAGATACTGTAGGTACTGTTACTGTACTTTTGAGCCAAATTTAATGTGAATCTTAAATTTAATCGTCTTATGTTTTCAAGATATCAACAAAACACAATATGATATACAATCTTTAACAACTTCTTAATTTATTTTTAAGATACCTAAATATTAACAAAAAACATATATATTATTATTATTATTATTACTATTCACTGAATAACTGAACCTTAAACCCTGATAGCACACTCTATTCTAAGAATGTTTTTTAAACCTTCCAGTGAGAATATTCTTAGGATCATGCTATATTTCTTCTAAAGAACATGCTTAAAAGAAATATAGCATAATCCTAAGAATAGTCTTACTGGCCTGGCAGGTCCTTAGAAGCTGCAAAGTTTTAGTAGTAAAAATTAGTCTACTCTAAACATATGCTTAGAATGTTAAGAAAGTAATTGCTATAGAAAGTTCATTTAGGAATATTCCTGTTAAGCATATTTAGTTAAGTTACCTATATAATAGTAAAATATACCATAAACTACGTATAAAGGTATACTTATACCCATACTTAAGTACCTAATTAGTAATTAGTATTAAATACTAAGTAAAAAAGAGTTATTTGTTAAATTAAAACAATATTCGATAACAAAAATACTTTTACTATAGGTATTTTATTTTATGTTAAAAATAAATATTATTTATTAATTTGTATACGGATTTTTTATTTCTGAATTAACATTTTTATGTATAATAATCCCAACTATCTTCAACTTCAATCTAATCTGACTTATCCCACAAAATTTTCCAATTTTACTTTTTATGAAATAATGTCATACAACTTATGGTTTAGAGGTCAAATTGTTTATTTAATATTTTTAAATAAATATATATTAATATGTGGGAAAATTAAGGGGACGACAAATACATTTCACTGTCATATTATGACAGTGAGGCGTATTTGTCGCCTCCTTAAGAATTTTACGAATGTAGAATACAACATATTAGAACGTGGGTTTCTGACATATTTGGGAATATTCTCAAAAGCTTCCTAGAAGCTACATAAGAAACCTTCTAAGAACATTCTAAAAACGTACTATTAAAATGTTCTTGGGATGCTGTTTAAGAAGCTTTTAAGAATCTAATTGCATCTAAAAGGGTATCTATTGAATGTTTTAAAGTCCCTAAGAACATTATTAGCAATAAGGGAAGCTTCTAAGAATATTCCATTATTCCGGGTCATAATATTATCTTCTTAAAAGATTCTTAAAATCAAATTTTGCTATCAGGGAAGGCTTTGCTTTAACGTGTATCTTTAAAATTAATATACATAACAAGGAGTTATTTGCCAAGAAATAGTTTAAATATATCTGAAGCTAAATTCTAAATTTAATTTCTTTGGTTACCCATAGTTTTATAAAACTATTTAAGGTTAAGAGTTATACATAACTATAAAGTTTAAAAATTTCAAATAATCTATATATTATTAACAATATTAACGAGCTCGGCTCGGTGACGAGATGAAAGGCATTTCAGTCTTGTAACATTGGTTGCCTATTACTGGCGTAAAGTAGTAAACCTATTACTCTGTTTGTTTGGGGTTATATCTTTTAAACAAAAAAAGATAACATCTTCAAGTTAAACCCAATAAGATAATTTATGTTTTGCCTACCCATATCTTTAGAAATAATAAAGAGACAGAAATGTTATTTGGACAAGATATAGTTTAAATCCAACTTTTTCTTTAATTGTTTTCGAGATATAAACAAAACAAAATATGTTCTTTAAAAATATTTGAGATAAAAATGGTAAACATTTTTTTGAGATATAACATCTACATTTAATTTTGTGCTACGTTGGGCGCCAAAATTGAATGTTTAGTTTAAGGATATCGTTGCAAACACTTTTATATATTCTGCTTGGTTAAGCATATATATTGCTTTTAAATTGTGAAAAATGTAACCGACGTTTTATATTTTGTAGATCATATTAAACGAAAACAGCACCGCTTTAAAGCTAAGTGAAAATTATTAAACGGCCCGAAAACGTTTTTATTAAAATTTAATTTATACATCAAGGGTTGACGGATTTTAATTCACCTTCTAAGTAAAATTATACAGAGCTTTAATTAACAGTTGAAAATCCGAAATATTCGCGTAAATCTTTCAGGTATTTTGTGCGTTAGTCAGATGCTTCCGATGAATTATTAGGGTTTCAGGTGGTAATTAATCTTCAGTAAAAAATTTGTCGTTTCTAAGGGATAATAAGTATTCCTTTTTGGGTTTAATAAAAATGTTATTTAAATGTGTTCATTTTGGAAATTAATTTTGGCAAACAACAAAGGGTTTAATTTGTTAATTAATATTTGCTTTGTATTCAAAACAAGTGTAGGGGAAGGTGGGGGAATTTTGCGCGGTGGGTAATTTTACGCATTAACAATTCTTCCAGATATGAAGTAAATAATACATTTTTTGAATGTTGCAAACTTGGAAACGTTGCTTTGGGTATACGGGGACTAAAGTGTACCGCAATTAAGCTTGTAGCTTTTAGCTAGTGACCATGGTCACTAGCTAACTGTGATACATGTACGTTGATCTAAGAAATCCATGTCGTTTCCGCTACGAGTTAAGTTTAAATTTCTGTCCAATCGCTTAAATGTTTATAACACAACTTTAATAATAATAATTTTTTTAAGTCTATTTTCAAAATCTATAGGAATTATTCATGAGAGGGAAAAATCAAATTTTGTCGTACTGTAAAGTTAAAAGTTAAACAAAATGCTCGAACTATAACAATATCACATTTGTATTAACTTTGTTAATGTTTCACATTTTGCCATTGCTAGCCCCTGTATATTAGTATGAATATTTTTAATGTAAATAGGCCAAACAATAATAAAAATCCATTAACAAATTTTAAAAAATCGGGGTGGTACGATATTTTTATTGCTTAGTTAAATGGTGAACTTTTATTTTAGTAATTTTATAAATTTTTACTATGTCCCCTTGCTACCCTTATTTATTTAATTTTACTTTAACTTACTTTTTCTGCATGTAAAGTTTAATACTCTTATAGATCCCCACTTAAAACTAATATTCGCAACCAAAACTGTTTTTATTTTTTTTATATTATAAAAAGTATTTTAAGCGATTACATTTTAATTTAATTTAGTTTATTACCCTTTTATTTTAGTAATTTTATAAATTTTTATTATGTCCCTTTGCTACCCTTATTTACTTAATTTTACTTTAACTTACTTTTTCTGCATGTATACATAAGTGGGGATATATAAGAATATTAAACTTTATAAAGTTTAATATTCTTATATATCCCCACTTAAAACTAATATTCGCAACCAAAACTGTTTTTATTTTTTTTTACATTATAAAAAGTATTTTAAGCGATTACATTTTAATTTAATTTTGTTTATGCACGATGACATTATAATATGACAATTATAACAAAAATTCTTTGACGTAAACGTCTTTTTATAGCCGGCGGGCGTTATTATGACCCAGCGGGCTATAATGAAACGTCAAAAATTAAAAACAATAATGTTACACCATTTGATATATTCGAAGTATAAAGATTTTGATTTTTCCGGCAGCAGGCCGCAATTTTTCGCCTTTTCAGCTGCTTCCTCAATTTCATTCATCTTTAAACTTTAAAACTGACTGATGTCAGTTTACATTATAATATGACAATTATAACAAAAATTCTTTGACGTAAACGTCTTTAAAAACAATAATATATTAAAAATAATAATATATTAATCGTGCATAAAGTTTTGTATGCATTGCTGGCATAACTGGTTTTTATGGTCCTACGACGCATAAAAACCTTATTATGCCCTTAATACATAAATAACTATTATTACCCTTTTATTTTAGTAATTTTATAAATTTTTATTATGTCCTATTGCTACCCTTATTTATTTAATTTTACTTTAACTTACTTTTTCTGCATGTAAAGTTTAATACTTTTATAGATCCACACTTAAAACTAATATTCGCAACCAAAACTGTTTTTATTTTTTTTTATATTATAAAAAGTATTTTTTTATATTTTATTTTATATTATAAAAAGTATTTTAATTTAATTTTGTTTATTACCCTTTTATTTTAGTAATTTTATAAATTTTTATTTTGTCCCCTTGCTACCCTTATTTATTTAATTTTACTTTAACTTACTTTTTCTGCATGTAAAGTTTAATATTCTTATAGATCCCCACTTAAAACTAATATACGCAACCAAAACTGTTTTTAATTTTTTTTTATACCTATTATAAAAAGTATTTTAAGCGATTATATTTTAATTTAATTTTGTTTATTACCCTTTTATTTTAGTAATTTTATAAATTTTTATTATGTCCCCTTGCTACCCTTATTTATTTAATTTTACTTTAACTAACTTTTTCTGCATGTAAAGTTTAATACTCTTATAGATCCCCACTTAAAACTAATATTCGCAACCAAAACTGTTTTTAATTTTTTTTTTATATCATAAAAAGTATTTTAAGCGATTACATTTTAATTTAACTTTGTTTATTACCCTTTTTTCAATAAATGCCAAAATTTGTATATTTTGCATATTTTCCCATGACCAACAAAAACTGAACTGATCTACCTTTTTTGTCACTCGAACGTCAGAAGAATGTCGAGCATCGTTTTAGTGTCGCGTTCCGGCGCCCGGCGCGTCTCGTTCGTGTGTTTGTGCCTGGCGTTTGCGTGTGCGGAAGGGACGCCTTCGACGCGGCTACTGACTGACGACGCCAGACTTTGCAACCCTCCTCTGGGCGTCGCGGCGGCCGTCCGGATGCCGACGCCGGCCCTGGCGCTGGCCCAGTTCCCGACCGTGCCTGCGCCGGGATCAACTTTCGGTTTTTCGGGTGCCACGCTGAAAAAAAGGGCCCTTAAACTACACTGAAAAAAATGTATGTAATTTTATTGTAAAACTATCTGGTTTTTCAAGGTATTTTTATCATGAAATACATGTAAAAATAAAATTACAAGGAATTTCTGTTATTTTTACAAAAACTTAACATTTTTACTATATCATTGTAAAAATATTTATTACTTTTACTTTTTGTGTGTGAAATTACATTGTTTTTGTATTATTTTAATCCTTTTCCAATTTTAGAAGTTTATTGTAAAAAAAATACCCAATGAAATAAAGCAAAATACTCACGGCGACTGTCGCAAAACACTTTCAAGTTTCTTCAATAGTCCCATATATGTAACAAATACTTAAATTGTTGCTTGGGTATTTATTGCTTAAAGAAAAAAGTTCTTAGTGGAAGAAGTATAGTTCTCTTGAAAACAAATACAAACTCTCTTAAATGTTTCTTCTTTCAACCAAGTGCAAAGTGTTTTTGTTCAAAAGCTATGAAAATTATTTATATTCACGCAATTCATTAAAGGTACATCACAATTATCCCAATAGCATGCCAATTTTACAACAAAATCTGGTAGCTTCTGATACATGGGAGGGGATGCAAAACGCGCACACCGTTTGCGGCACACGTGTTTACTAGGTACGTTTTGTATCATTGCAACTTGCAATTCGCCATTTTCTAGGGGCAGTGATATAATATTATAATTCTATTATAGGTATTTCTAATATACATTTTGCCGGTTGTGTTGTGTTATGGCGTGTTGTATGTACTTTCAAAGGGGAGTTGAAAGCATTAAAACTCTTTTTAAATAAAAAAAATTAATTAATTTGTTTAATGTTTTTGAAGGTAAGGTATTAATTAAAATATGTTAAATCAAATTTATGTTAGTTTATTGATGTTAGTATAAAAAAACTCTTTGTTGATATCAAACAATAAATTATTTAAATATTTTTTATAGATGTCGCCCCATACAAATATTTAATTTAAATAATTTTTAGATAATAATAAGTATTTTTCGTTAAAAAATTATAGTATGCAACTCGTTTATAAACTTTTCTAGACACTCATTTAATTAAACATTCGCTCGCAAGCTCGCTCGTGCCAAATTTAATTTAGTGACTAAAATGGCGTTTATAAAACTTGATAAATAATAGGTTTTATTTTAAAGCAAGTCTGGATTTTTATTAATTCTTTTAAATATTAAACCCTAAAATTCAAATTTTGCAGTGAGTTTTTTATTTAGATTCATTTTATTTTGTCCCTATTTTAAATTTAAATTTGAAAATTAAATGTTTTTTTTTGTTTTTGTTCCCATAGTTTATACTATAAACTTTATAGTCTCAAACTGTAGAACTTTAAAATGTATTAAGCCAAAATTAATATTTAGTATTTTGCTCAATTAAAAATATTTTGACAACTCAAAGAAAACAAATAAAGGAATTTTAGGATTTATGGAAAGAAAGGAAAATAAATAAAATGGATATATGTTACGAAAATATTTTATTTCAAATATGATGCACTTTACATAGAACAATTAATTTTTTACACAATTAGGTTTTATAAATAAATTTTCGAGAAAACAACACAATTATTATTATCTTTTTAAGCCCTTTTTCTCCAATTTTGAACACACAAGAAAAATAAAAAAATTATTGCACCCAACTTATAAAATTATCCTATAAAATTTACGGTCTTCAAGACCAAACAATTCAATAAAAAATCAATGACTAGTTATTTTTACATTTTTATACAGTTTTGTACATTATATTTATCACTAACGCTAAAATTTTGACATCTTAACAACTTTAGTGGGAATATCTCAATTAATTAAATTAAATTGAGCAAAGTTAACCTAATATCATGGTATAAAAATTACATACAGGGTGATATAAAACTCAATTTATAAGTTTTAAAACACGCCATATGCTACAGTAGGCCCATAAATAACAATACATTATTGTTTTAAACTAAAAATTAAATAATATGAGAGTATTGCAAAACAATAAACCCTGTAGTTATATAAATATTGCAAACTATATTTAAATATAAGGGTAGTTATTTTAAAACATTTCCTTTCTATTCATCCTTATACAAAATATTTAACTACCCTATTAATAATAAAAAAATTATAAAGCAAGTTAAAAAAACATAACTTACAAAAATGCTACATATATACAGGTCTCAGGTTGTATTTAATAGAATATATGTATAGGTAATAACAGTTAATAACTTTGAGAAATTTACTAAACAATTTGGCAATGTGAAGAAAGGTCAGTCAGTGTTAAAAAAATTGTCGGGTTGTTTTAATATTTTGGCAGATAAATTCGTCCCAGGACAAATTATAAATGTGAAAATAACGACTATTTTGTTCGGTTTATAGGAAATTCAGTTCGTTTAAAAATAAATGCTAGTCTAGTTTTTGTGTCTAATATTTAGATTCTTTTTAAAATTGTTTTTGTTATAAACTTTGGACATTTTTTTGCCAATTTAACAAAATTTTTAGTTTAGATTTTCTGCAAAATTTGATCTTATTGTATCAAAAAAAAAGTGGTTATTGTCAATTACTGATTAATCAACTAACAAACTAAATATACACAAAAAAAGATCTGTTTTATTATCACAGAAACTTTATATTAGCACTTTAAATTAAATCTGTAACTTAAAACTAAATAAATTATTTAAATATTGCGTTATTAATAATAATAATTAATTATGAAGTAATGGTTGTTCCAAAAAGATTAACAATTTTTCTAAATATGTACATCTTCTTGCTAGTTAAGGTTAAAGTTGGTCGTTTATATTATAAAAAAATCTGAAATAAACGCATTAAATTAAAATTTGCTATTAGATGATTTATACACGGTGCACCAAGTAAGGGAATCTTTTTTATTGGAAGATGAAAACATTAATTTAATAGTTTTTTTAGTGTGTTAATTTCTTTTAAAAATAATGTAAAATAATTTTAAAAAGTTTTTAAGTTAAAAACAATTTATAGTTAAATAAAAGTGTTAAATGTGCAGTGGGTTGCATAACTTTTGACAGTTTTTTTTCCTATTTTCAAATATTATTTTGATATAACCGACCTTGAAGCTTTTTAAATAAAAAAATACAGTTTTTTTATTTGGAAAAAAATTTTAAAACAATTTTAAAGAAAATTATAAATTCCCAATCATTGGTAAAAACCAAAGAAAAAAAAACTAATAGGGTTTTTAGTATTTTAATTTCTTTTAAAAATAATGTAAAATAATTTTAAAAAGTTTTTAAATTAAAAACAATGTATAGTTTAATAAAAGTGTTTAATGTGCAGCGGGTTGCATAACTTCGTGGTTTTTGTTTGAATGCTTACTACAGAAGCTATGAAATAAAGTTTTTTTTCAAAATTTTCAGGAATAACGAAGTTATAGCAATTTTTGGTTTTAACAGTTTTTTTCCAATTTTCAAATTTCATTTTAATATATATTTTAAAGAAAATTATAAAAATTTGAAATTTTCAATCATCGGTTTAAACCAAAGAAAACAAAAAAAAAGTAATATAATACAGTTAATTTTTTTTATCTGGACTCGTGATTTTTTGTTAGGTTGGTGGCTTATGCCAGTTTGACTTAGTATTTTTAGTATTTATAAATGGTACTTCTGTTAAAGAATTTAATTAAATACTTTGACACTGTCAAATTGACAATAATATTTATTATTGATAATTTACTTGTCAATTATAAATAAAAAGATAATTATGCCAAAAATAATAGCAACGAATGTAAAAGCCCTTGTGAGGGCAAAACTTTATTTTGATGAAAATATGCCAAATGCCACTACAGAAGAAAGAGTACATCGCCTTATGGACATTTTTGGGGTAAAAAAGTAACGTTTTTGGTTTTATACATATTACATCACACATTATTTTCACATTATTCACCATTGGACAACATTTACGTTCACAAAAAATTTTAATTTCTTTTTTATAAATTCTTTTCAAAGCGAAGATTATTATCCGCTAGGAATACTCTCTCTTGTGGGCCGTAAAGCAACCTATATTTAACTACTTTTGGTATATGATTGTACTCATTCAAGCACCCCCAAAGCCAAATTAATTGCATTTTTAACTACGAAATGTAACCTACAATAATTTATACATAACCACAATTAGATTTATAACTAGCTTAGTTTGTTTTAATCAATGCGACCAACTTGACAACTGTATTTACCAACCAAAACCCTAAATTTGCAACGTTGCCGCAGTCCAGATAAAAAAAAGAACTTTAGGTAAAATAATAAAATAATTTTAAAAAGTTTGTTAAATTAAAAACAATTTATAGTTTAATGTGCAGTGGGTTGCGTAACTTCGTGATTTTTTCAAATTTCATTTTGATATAATCTACCTTGAAGCTCTTTAAATAAAAAATACAGTTTTTTTATTTAAAAAGAACTATTAAAACAATTTTAAAGACAATTATAAAAATTTCAAATTCCCAATCATCGGTAAAAACCACAGACCACCAAAACAAATGGACAGATTTACGTTTAAAAAGCGAGTAAAGCATAGTTTCACATTCTAAACACCACAACATAATGAACATTAATAATTACCAGTAATTCGTTTGAATAATAAAATAAATTGTAAAAAGCATTTGTTCATCATTTTCTTTAGATATTTTTCTCTATTTAAAGAAAGTAAATCATTTAATATTTATTAAAATTAAATATTAACAACGTTGGTAAATTCGTCATATTTGACAGCATAGAAAAAGGTTGACAGCTTGTTTTATGTTTTCGTTTGTGTATTTCTATCGTGTTTAAGTTAATTATGGAGTTTAAATACATAATTTTTTACTAAAAATAACAATACATGGAAATATCGTTTGTAAGTACCTACCTACTTATTATTTTTTTAATCCCAATACGTCACTGGAAGAAAACAAAATTCTATCGCCAATTTAACGCTTAGACTGTGACCGTTTGTTGACCGCAAACAAAGCATTGTTATTGAATGGCAATGCGCCGTCCATTTGTTTTGGTGGTCTGTGGTAAAAACCATAGATAACAAAAAAAATAATATAATAATGTAATAGGTCTTTTAAAAATAATGTAAAATAATTTTAAAAAGTTTGTTAAATTAAGTGTTTAACAAGGAAATGATGAAAAGTAAAAAAAATACTCACGTAGGTTACTTAACCTCCGCATCCCCACCTTGGCTGTTGGCTTCGCTGTAGGTGGGAAACTTGGCCGTCTCGATCTTGTTCTTGACCTTGAAGCCGGGGAACAGGGCGATCTGATTGGTGCGCGCGTTCATGCCCTTGCTGAGGCCGTTCCAGTGGTTCCCCGCGATGCCGATCGAGTCGCCGACGTTGATCGACATCTCGCCGGCGCGCTTCGGCTCGTGCGCCAGCACCGCGACCACGTTGTGCGCGTTCTGCCCGCCGTAGTAGTAGACGTCGTCCAGCGAGCGGAAGCGCGCCGACGCGTCCGGGTAGTAGTTCTGCATTATCTCGTACGCCACTCGGCACACCTAAGGACAATTTTTTATTACTTACTTACTATTAATCGTTTTAAACGTTTTTCTCTACGACTACTTAAGAATAGTAACATTCTAGTGTAATTTTTGATTATAGAAAGGATGTTTTTCTGCAATACTGTCCGAGAATATTCCTACTCTTGTTTAAGAATGGTCACAAGTAACGACATCTCCTGGCTGTTTACTGAACGTAAAAAATTTAAAAAATAATAGCAGTTGTATAATTAAGGTTTAGGCACAAAAAATTAGTTATATTTATTGTTTTTCAAATAATCAAATCAAAATTATAATAAATTTGATATTAAAATGATAAACCAGTTACCTACTATACCGGCTTTGAAGTTTTGACAGATTCAAAAAGTTTAAAAAAAGACCTTTAAAATGTAGAAAAAGAATAGATGTTGACATAGATTACTTGTAAAATTAGTTTTTTATTTGTTACAATGTTATTTTTTTATTAGTTAGTGTAAATAACAATTTTTAATTATAATAAAGATTTAGGCATACCATTTGTTTAAATTTATTATAATTTACATTATAAAATTGTGACGGCACAAAATGGTTTGACAATACAAAAAACTTAAATGGCAAAAACTGCTTGGTTTCTTTTCTGTTTAAAATTATATAAGCGTTACTATTCTTACGTAGTCGTAGAGAAAATAATGTCTGAAACACGTTTGGAATTGCATATTCCACTCTCGTAAAACCGTCACACTCGCCTTCGGCTCGTGTGTCAAATTTTTCCTCGAGCAGAATATGCTGTATTCCAAACTTGTTACAGAATGTACTATTCTTACAGAGGCCCTTATAAGTCGAGATGCACCGAATATTCGGTATTCGGCATATTCGCATGTTTTTTTACTATTCGGCCGTATACCAACAGTTGGGGCTGCTATTCGGCAAAATACCGAATAGTTAACTTTATTTTATTTTTTTAATTTTTTTTATATTTCATGATAAAAATAAAAAAACAAAAAGAAAAAGTGGACCGTTTAAAATAAATTTGGTAAAATAAAACAAATTTGTGTAATAATAATAAAATAATATTAATTTAATTTTAATATATTCAAATTATACTGAATGTAACACAAAATACAATTTTATTTTTATATTGCTTTTATAAAATATTGTATTCAAAATTTAATATTGGTATGCATTAGGGTGTTTCATTTAAAACGAACATTTTTTTTCTTACTACCTCGACTCAAAATACGTTGTTTCGTCCCCGATTCCACGGCAGAAAGTTTACGTTTCTTGCATTGGTCAAGCTATACCCGCACACTCTAATAGCGGGAGTAAAAATTTTTTAGTCGTGTGCTTAACATTCAAATTTCGTACTGCCAACATGAGAAACACAAAAATATGACAGTTTTAAAACATAATTTTGCAATTATAACAACAAATAAACAATTTATGTTTTTACTTTTTTACTTTTTATGTTGTTTTAAGTGTTTAATGGTACTTTTATTTGTTATAAAGTAGTAATTTGTTAATTAAAATACAACCTTTTATTTTTACTGTATTGGCACCGCTGAATTACCATGACAACGCTACAGTTTGATTGATTTTGAATGTAAACGTCAGAATTAAATTAAACGTCAGATTTTAATTTTGACACAAGTTTTTTTATATACATTTAATTTTTTCCCGTATTTTCTGCCAGGTAGCAAGAAAAATAGTATACACTACACGGGCAGAAAGTGTAAGAGCCCTGAACTGCGCGCCATGATGCCCTCGGCTTCGCCTCGGGCATCATGGCGCGCAGTGCAGGAATCTCACACTTTCTGCCCTTGTAGTGTAATATACTATTTCTTGCTGACACATGAAAATTTTGTTTTTTAGGTTGAAAAAAAAATTCCCTGAAAATTTGAGCCCTTAATTTTGATTTTAAGTACTTCCTTTTTAATTTTGTAGTTTTTCCATATAAAAAGTATGTATTTTTAATCATTTTTACTTTAAATTTCTATATTTTGGCTGGGTTTTGAATTATAATTTTTATCACCATAATTTTCTGCATAGTATTTATGGTTTTTGAAAGGCCCTGCATCAATTTTGTTTTTGATTTATTTACGTTGATTGTAGTAGCTCCAAAAGTCGTTTTTTCACTTTTTCTCACATATTTTTGAGAAAATAGAGCGAATGACTGGTTTTACCGAAAAAGTTCAAATAAAAAAGTTGTAGGAAATTTAATTTTTGACAAAAAAAGTTCTTACGTTCATATCACTAAAGTGCTTTGTTTAAGAGATATAAGCAATTCAATAACCAAAAACAAAGAAAAAATAGGTTGTATTGAAATTTATGTAATTTGATTAAACAACTATATATTGCTTATATCTCTTAAACAAAGCACTTTAGTGATATGAACGTAAAAACCTTTTTTGTAAAAAATTAAATTTTCTACAAGTTCTTTATTATAACTTTTTCGGTAAAACCAGTCATTCGCACGATTTTCTCAAAAATATGCGAAAAGAGTGAAAAAACGACTTTTGGAGCTACTACAATCAACGTAAATAAATCAAAAACAAAATTGATGCAGGGCCTTTTAAAAACCGTGAATACTATGCAGAAAATTATGGTGATAAAAATTATAATTCAAAACCCGGCCAAAATATAGAAATTTAAAGTAAAAATGATTAAAAATACATGCTTTTTATATGGAAAAACTACAAAATTAAAAAGGAAGTACTTGGAATCAAAATTAAGGGCTCAAATTTTCAGGGAATTTTATTTTCAACCTAAAAACCAAAATTTTCATGTGTCAGGAAAAAAAAATTTAGTTTTAAATGAAACACCCTAGTATGCATGCAATGACGCGATAATAGTACCACCTCAATCACGCTCTACCGAATAGTTGCCAATATTCGGTATTCGGCACATTAGATTCACCGAATATTAGGTATTTGGCTATTCGACAAAAACGGCATTCGGTGCATCTCTACTTGTAAGCCTTAAAGTGCTAACGGCAACCATTTTACTCCTCTTTTGTAAAAAATAAAACTTATTCTATCAAACTGTGAAATGTCAATTTTAAGCTTAATTTGTGGGTAGGGTTTTAAAATTTCCGGAAAAATTGAGCCGGCGCAAAAAAACCTTTTCTTCCGGAAAAAACGAAAAAATTGGGAAATTTATAAAAAAATTGACTTTTGCATTTTATTCACAAGGTAATGCAAAAAAATGCAAAATTATTATTATTTTATACCGGGCCGCAAAAAGAACATAACATAACTTTCGTTTTATTTGACACTTCAATTTATAAAATTATAACTTTGTATATTTAACGTTTATTTTTATTTTTTTAAATCAATTTAGTTTCTTTTTCTGTAATAAATAATATTTTATTAAATTGAAGTAATGTTAAGATGTTTGCTACTATTTTTAAAATGTGTATATTTTCCAAAAAAAAATCAAATTTTCCCAAAAAAGACAGTTTTTTCCAGGGCTTAGGAAAATACGGAAAAACAGGTTTTCCCCCAATTTTTCCGTTTTTTTTCGACACTTTAAAACCCTATTTGTGGGTCTGGTAAATTTGTGGGTTATGGTAAATTAACCTTAAAATTGACATTTGACAGTTTGATGACAGCCCTGATAGAATAAGGTTTTTTTATGAGAAAAAAAGAGTAAAATGGTTGTCATTCGCACTTATTCGTGAGAAACACAACGATTAAAACGATTTTTAATCTGTATATACCAAGTTGGCTGTTTTCACTTGGTATCGTTTAAATTGTTAGTTAATAGCTAACAATAATTTAAAAAAAAATTCCGATGCCTAAATGACGATACTTTTCTTATTTTTTTTTCACCTTTTTGGAAATTATTTTTTTCTTGTTCATTATATTCAATAACTCACCAAATATTGATGATTTTGCTTCTATTATGATTTTGCTTCTATTATGATACCTTATGATATATAAATTTTAATGACTGGCGTCACAAATTTTGATGATGTCAAAATTAATTTTTATCGTTTTTTCCAACAATTTTGTCTAATTTACCGACAATTTTAAATGTATGCAGAAACGTTGATTTATTTATATCAACTGATTTAGCATTTCAGTGGATTTAGATTTTTGCACGACATTTCATATTCTTTAAAAACTTATAAAATAAATTGGGTAATTATCTTTAAAACGTTTATATTATCCCTAAAGAGTTAATTTTTACTCATTAACATTTAATTAAATATAAAACAATTAAAATTAAGATATATTAGACATTTGTGACATTTGCTTTTAACCATAGAAAATAATTTCGATAATATAAGTCAGAGTATGAAGCACATAGTTATTTAATTTAAATTATTCGGTTAAAATGATAATTTTAAGCAAAAATCAAATTTTTTTAGAATTTTGATTATTATTATTGAAATAAAATAAATAAGCGTTTAATAAAACAATTTAACATAAGTCTATACAAAATAAATATTAAGTAGTCGGTAAATTAAACAAAATTATTGGTAAAAACTGTAAAAAGAATTTTGATCAAAATTTACGAAATAAATTTTTGACGCCAATATCAAAATTTCTTTATCTAAAGGGGTCATAATAGAAGTAGAATCAATAATATTTGGTAAGTTATTTAATATAATAAACAAAAAAAAATCAACTTCCAAAAAGTTCAAAAATGTTTTTAGGCTATAAACTAACAATGTCAGTAGAAAACCTTAGGTAATTTACCTTGGTAGAAAAGGGTAGAAAACTTGTTTTCGACTTGCGTCGAAAACCTATAGGGTTTTCTACCTAGGTAAATTACCTTATTCGACCTTTTCCTTCCACTTCTCTATAATTGATAAAAATTTGCCCTCATGCCAAAAATTATGTTGGGGTCTCCCAACCAAACGTGGCCCTTTTTTTCCCACCATAATAATGTTAAAAAACTCCAAATTTATGGTAGGTGTCTGATTTTTCACAACATTTAACAAATCATAATAAACAACAAACTTGCATAACCTCACATTTTTTGATATTTGACAGTATTCTACTTTTTTACGTTTTCTACCGTCGAAAAAGGTTTTCTACATGTCGAAAACAAAAATGTAGGTAGATACCCAACCCTGACAATGGGGTGGTTAAATTTTTTCTGACCTATACTTTTTATGGTTTTATTCAAGGCGTTTTGTAATTTTAAACATTTCTGTGAAATCGGAATTTCAATTGAGTTTACCGTTTTCGAGATATTTACAAAAAAAATCTCCTAATTACGTCACTAGGCTATTGACAACGTTGCCAGCTTTTTCTATGGTTGCCTGTGTGTTTAGTTTAAGATTCTTACGATAGATGGCGCCACGTTATAATATTTTAGTTTTTAAATCACTTGATATATAAGAAGAAGAATTGATTTTTTGACGTTTCTTTTTTTCGGGTTATGTTTTTTTAAATTTAGATTATTGAAAATCAATGTTATTGTTATGTTATTTGTAATTGATATTAGATAAGTGATTTATTAATAACGGACTCCAAAGCAGAGGAATCTTGTGGAATGGTTGGTTACATTGAACATTTGAGCTTTTAAACAAATAAAGTAAGTACCTATAATTATAATCATATTTTGTCGTAGGTTAATGCATTTCATTAGTATAATGCCTAGTTCTTTATATTCTTTTAGATATATCTTGGACTCTAAAATATCAAACAGTAATATGATACCTCGTAATAAGGAAGATAGGTACTTAATGAATTTGGTGACCATCTTTCACTCAACTGACAGTGACAGTATTTGTACATAACCTCTTCGGGTATTTTCTGACATAACCGAATGAAATCATTAACAAGACAACTTGACAACAGGGTAATTTTCAACCAATAGAAATCTTAGAATGTTGGTCACATGGCGAGGTTTGTGACGTCATAAAAATTTTTTGTAAATATCTCAAAAACGGGAAACTCAATTGAAATTCTGATTTCACAGAAATGTTTAATATTACAAAACGCCTTGAATAAAACCATAAAAAGTATTGGTCAGAAAAAATTTAACTACCCTGGGGCATTAAAACGATGCCCAAGTGAAAACAGCCAACTTGGTAAGTAACGGACACCCTAATTAACAGCAAAAACCCAAAGCACAAAAATTGTAAACATAAAATGGCCGCCGTTAGAGTCTGTCTAACTTCGTGATTTTTAGTATGTTGTGTGAATTGTGCATGAAACTATCTAAAGATTTATTCTGCTGTGTATTATTTTAACGGACATATCGCGAAACGCATGAAAATATCAATGCAAAAATGTATCTTACCTGAGAGGAGAACGTGCAAACCAAATAATCGCTCATCGACAGCATGTGTATGTCGAACACGATGCCGAACAGCGACGAGTCCGAGTACCTGGTCGAGATGGCGGCCGTCTTCGATATACTCGGATCGCCGAGTATCTCGTAGTGCGGATATTTCGTGCGCGCTTCCTGAATGACGCGCGGCTCGTCCGTGGCCAGGTAAATCCTGCGCTTTTTCACCGTCTCGTTCAGTTCCATTTGATTGTAGTACTCTTCCACGATCGTCATGTACTCTTCGATGCTGTGAAAGGAGGCTTCCGTGCCCACTTTGTCCGTCCTACGAACGTGTACGCTGAAAGAAATTTCTTTATTATCTTCTGCATTAGACTGTGTCAAAATAACTTTTTTTTTAGATTAAATAGGTATATCTTAAAAGTTTCTTCAATGTGAAAAAAAAATTCTTCCAAAGTTTGAGCTCAATATACAGGGTGTTATGTATATTAAAATGGGTTCTTAAAGAAGCAAGTAAAACTTTTTTTTTTCTAAATTCCAAAGTCTAAAAATAATTTATAATAACCTTTATCCTACCAAAAAGTACGCCACTAATCGACTAGGAACTTTAGGCTAATCTGGTGGATTTATTATGTTATGGTTGGTAACAACAGTGTTTCCAAAATCTCTCAAAAAAGTTGACAAACATTGTTTAAATTTAGCTTAATTACAAAAATGACAAAATTAACAATGCAAATTGTCAATTTGGCGTTTTTATTAATAGTTGGTTATGTTATTTTTGTACTGAAGGTAAATTCAAACAAAATCTGCCAACTGTTATGACAGAATCTAGTGCATTTCTTTTAAATTTTAGGTTATGTTTTCAAATTGTAAATATCTTAACTAAGGGAAGTGCTTTTGGATTTATTTACACAAATTAAATGTTTAAAGTTTAACCTGTGCACTGGTCCCAATTTCATCTGAGTAAACAGAGAAAAAAACTAATGAAAAAATTAATTTTGTGGTTATGGATTTCAAATTTCAAAGGTACTAAATTTTCTAATCATTGCTTAAGCTAATAGCTGGATCAGTAAATAAATACCGAAGGGTATTAGAGCTTTAAGGGCATAAAACTTTTGTATTTATTGAGTTTTTATTTATTTTTTGCAATTTTTTGCAATTTTTAGTAACAATTTTTTACATCTGGCAAACGCATAGCTACTTTGTTGGTTGGTATCTATGTACTCACAAAATACAAGTGTGCAGAGATAAACCAAGTGTGTAACCAGTGGCGTATCACAAAAAATATAAAAAACTTCTAATGCATATTTTTTCTTTATCTTTGGAAAAGTTTTTTTAAATATTTTTCCTTTATTCCTTATTTAAAAAGGTATTCAGTATTTTAATATATAACATTAATTACATAACACCCTGTATCTAAAATTCAGCTGGCGCAAAGGCATTTAAAATACATGAGATTTTTTTTTACTTTTATAATAACTACATGAAAAATCTTTTGTTTTAATTTTGTTTTTGTTTTTTTAAAATTTCCAAATTTATTAAAATTTCTAAAGTTTTCAAAGTTTATAATACATATTTTTGCAATGTTACGAGTAGTAAAACGATAAGAGTGAAAATTTCAAAATTTCCAAAAACTTCAAAATTTTAAAAATCTCCAAAAATTTCTAAATTTTCCAATTTTCAAGATTTTTTTAAATTTCCAAATTTTTTAGAATTTCCAAAATTTTTAAAATTTGTAATATTTTTGCAATGTTTAACAAACTAGATAAATTTCTTTATAGAATCCATGAAACCACAATCTACACAATTGTTACTTTTTGAATAACTACATGAATAATTTTTTTTTTAATTTTGTTTCTCACTACCTTATAGGAAATTTAGTTCTCTACAAAATTGTCCCTATGCATTTTTTCTCTAAACTCATCAGAAACAAAGTTACATTTTATCGACTGTAATACACTGCCCGTCAAAATTAACGCATAATAAGTAAAAAAATTCTAACTCAAAATCCAATCTTTATGAAATTTTAACCATATTTCAGCAAAATAATCAAAAAGGGGTAATTTTTACCGACTTTGAAGCGCTATATATTTGTTACTGTTCGTTTGATTTGTACAATTTTTTAGGGTATACTAACAAAAATACGGTCTTTAACACCATATTTTTATTTTACTTAAAAAAATTCTCTAAAAGGAATTTTTAGAACGTTTTTTTTTATTATTTAATTAAAGGGCTTTAAACTGAGATATAAGTTGAAAATTTCATAAATATTGGTAAAGGCGTTTTAGAGTTAGAATGTTTTTACTTATTATGCGTTAATTTTGACGGGCAGTGTATTTAATTTTTATTTTTTCCTTCCTATTCAGCGCTATGTAACTTTATTTCTGACGACTTTAGAGAAAAAATGCATAGGAACAATTTTGTAGAGAACTAAATTTCCTATAAGGTAGTGAGAAACAAAATTAAAAAAAAAATATTTATGTAGCTATTCTAAAACTAAAAAAAAAATTCCCATGTATTTTAAATGGGAAAGGGGACCACCAGCTCTATTTTAGAGATATTGAGCTCAAACTGTAGGAGAATTTTTTTTCATATTGGAGAAACTTTTTAGATATATTTAATCGAAAAAAAAAGTTATTTTGACACAGTTTAGCATAAAGGATAACGATTTTATAAGTCAAAAAGTGTGTTTCACGATTTTGCCTCTATCCTGACCATTGTTACATTTATTTGAAAAAATATTTTGTTTAATAAACCAAATGAAAAACAACGAAGTCTGTTGGACCTAAAAGTCCATGGTCAGCGGAAAAAAATGTGTTGTTATATTTTAATAATACAATTGTAATGTAATTTTTCTGTATTAAATTTAATATGAAAGTATTTTTTATATTTTGTAGGTGTAATTTTAAAAGTAAATAACTTACCCTACAATGGGCCTCTGGAAACCCATCTTAGTCATAGTCTCCTGTATAATAGACTGCGTTTTATCCTGAGGCCTCAACAAATACTTCAATATCTGTCCTATCCACCAAACTATAGGATCCCCATGTAATCTAGTCAATCTACAAAAACGTCAGTTGGGATATATGAGTACCTTAGATGCAAAACTCGGTTTTTGCAAATTAAAAAATAAAATAAAATTGGCTTTAAATTCTGTTTAGTGTTCGTCCTAGATAAATGGGGTTCATAAAACTTGATACATAATAATATTATATTATATATATTATTATGTATCAAGTTTTATAAACGCCATTTATCTAGGACGAACACCAAACAGAATTTAAAGCCAATTTTTTTTTTTTTTTAAATTTGCAAAAACCGAGTTTTGCATCTAAGGTACTCATATAATCATATATTATATCACGAGAACTATGAATTTAACCGGTTAAACTAGGCTCAGTAGTTTTTTGTTTGGTTTTTGTTGGAAAATGTTGAATGCAAAATAATTTAATAAAATCACGAGACCGCGTAGCGGTCGAGGGGTTTTATTTTTAATTATTTTGCATGAAACTATTTTCCAAAAAGAAAAATCAAATAAAAAACTTACTGAGCATAGCTTGACAGATTAAATTTATAGGTTGAGTGATATACGTCTAGATTATTTCTCGAATTAAAGGAAACTATTTGACAATTCATAAAATCTGACGTATGTGTCAAAATTTATAAATATTTTTTTAAAGAAAATTCCATTAATTTAAGGTATGTAATAAGTAATAATTGATATTTCGTAAACTAGATAACTTATTTCGTATTGTTTTTTAAAAAATGTTTGTTAAAACTTGTAAATAACACCATAAAATCGTAAACAAAAATCCAATATGGAGGCTAAAATTTAATCGCTGTTAAATAGTTCTAGTGATTTAATCGCTTATTTAAACGAAATTTATTCGAAAATTCAAGGCTTGGTTCATATTATAATGAGGGATATATAATCTAAGGTAAAAACTTATTACCTTGGTGCTAGATCTTCAGGAACCGCCAACGGTAAAAACGGAGGTCTGGGAGACAGGGAATCGATGATGGGCAGGTTTATAACTTGCGTTTCGGGGTTCCCCGGCCAGTTGCTTATGCTGGCGCCGTTAGGGGCCGTACAGGACTCGCTGACGGGCTTGAAAATCTCCTCCCAGCCGCCCGTGTGGTACCTCCAGCCTTTCGATTTCAGAATCATGGTTCTTTTGGTGCCGTAAGCCACCATGAAGCAGTAGACCGCGTGGTGGAGTTGGCACCCATAGCCGCAACCCTGAAGTTTTATTTTTTGTAGGTTTTATTAGTTAAAATGTTTTTTGAAATCAAAGATCGTTCTATAGAAATCCCAAAAAATGTTGTCCAAACAATCGATAATTAATTTTTTTTGCAATATAAATGATAAAAAGATATTTTGTTTGCAATGAACAATATTTTTTTAATGAAATCCATTTTTAATTTATGTATCTACTTTAACTTATTTATTAACTTTTTCGAGATAAAATATTGATATAATTTAAATTAATACATTTTAATAATTAAATTATTTAATATTATTATTTTTAATTAATATTAATAGTTTAATTTCATTTTTTTCATTTCATTAGTATTAATACTACTGTAAAAAGAAATAAATTTTAAATTTAATATGTATTACCTATTTGCTAATATGCTAATCATAACTTTAGGTGCAATGAAATGAAATCCGTTTTGAAGAAAATAATGTCATTTGAAGCTGATTTTACATATTTTACCTAAATTTTAATTTTTAAGGGAAATTGACCAAATTTTTAAATTTTAAAAAAATAGTGTGATTCATTTAAATTAAATAATTTTAAATTTGCTTTCCAGTACTTATTTTCGTAAAGTACGTTTATCTATGGCACGTCGTTTCACTTCTTAATCGGATAAAAAATATTAAGTTAAATATTAATACTTAAAAATAAATGGCACTTGAAAATAATACCTTCAAAATAATACATTAATTAGAATTATACATGTCAAAGAATATTATATATTATGTTTATATAAGATGTTAAATTATTTATTTAATGTTATTTCTTTTGTGACACATTAATTTAATATTTGTATACAGAACGGTGTGCCATAATTAATTTTAAGTGTAATTACGCATAATTTTATTTCTAATAAAGCATTTTATGTGTACACATAAAATTAATGCACTGAATTTTTATTTTGTAATTAAAATTATGACAATATAATAAAAAAATTTAAATTAATTTTATGTGTAACAGATAAAATTATATAATTAATGTTATGCTACACATAAAATTAAGTTGGCGCTGCGAAAGTGCGGCCGAAAGTGACAACAGTAGTTCAAATGGTAGGTATATTTAATTTATCTACGTCATATAATTATATCACAAAACTAAAACCTTCTAGTTTTGTATATGTACATAGAAATAATTTCTATAATTATATAGATAGAAGAACAAAACCCGAATCTCTCAGCATATTGTCGCCAAACTTGACGTAGATAAATTACGCATAAATACCTACTGTGCATTTGAACTACTGCAGTTGCCACTTACCAAAGCGCCAAATTTATTTTATGTGTTTAATTATATAATTTTTTCTACTCCCACCTTTAAAACGCCCTTTATTGTACATTTTTCCATGACACTAAGTGACCTTTTAAATACACATTGACAAGTTGTGGCTTTATGGCGCTTTAGTCACGGGCTGAAGTTAGCAACAGGTTTTTCGTCACGGGCTGAAGTTAGTTTTAAATTAGTTGACAATTTCATACAATCGTTAAAATAAATTGCTTTTCTTGTACAATAATACTAAATGTGAAAATTATTTTATTATCTTAATACAAAAATACAAAAGTATTAAATAGTTTCTCAACGCCAATATTTAAAAAGTTTATATGAACATTGAACTGACCTTTTAATTTCGCCGGCAGTAAACTATAACTTAAATTCAGGCACGGACTCCACTGTAAAGTGCTCAAAAAATATTTTCTTTACTTTCACTGTGAAAAACTGTCAATTTTCAAGAAATAAATTTCGATTTATAACCTTTATAATTGTGTTTATAAAATATAAAAATTTGTCATTTGACGGTGACACACATTCCCCTATTGTTTCATAGATGGCGCTCTATACAAATTTTTGATTTAAATTATTTTAAGATAATAATAAGTATTTGTCGTAGAAAAAGTATAGTAAGTATGCACCTCGTTTATAAACTTTTCTATACACTAATTAATTTAAGCACTCGCTCGCAAGCTTGCTCGTGCCTAAATTAAATTCGTGTATAAAATGGCGATTATCAAACTTGATACATAATATACTATTATGTGTACAGATAAAATATATTGTAACATAATAATGATTGTCGTGTTATAAATAAGAAATTGCTCGACAATGTTAGTCTCACGCAAATATTAATTTAACTAACAAAATTTTATGTCAATTCGGTCAAATGTTTAAAAATTTCGTCTCGTAAAATATTTAAATGTTACATTAAAATGAATCATAATTCCTATCTGGAAATTTTAATTAAATTTATGCTTGACATAATTTTATTTAAATATTATTATGTCAGACATAAATAAAATTATAAAAAATTAAATTTTCCATAATTTTAAAAAACCTACTTCAATTTTCTTTTACATTTAAAGCGTTTACGATTAAAAAGTGAAATGGCGTTCCTATATCACGGTGCTGTTCTGATGTGATTTTTGGACTTTCTGTGAAACCTATTTTTTTAAATATTCTTGTTAATTAGGTCATAACTAAAATTTTAAGAGCAAAATAAAAAAAAATTGACGGTTTGAATTGTTTTAATTGGCTGTTTATTAAAAATGAAAGAGTGCATCATCTCTTTCAATTATCCAATTAAAACTAGCGATTTAATTTAAATATTTAATATTTGCATAACTAAAAAAAAAGGTTTTTACAATTTTTGTTATATATTTTACTGTTTTGTTGCAATAAACGTTCAAACTTTTAATCTAACCTTTGACGTATACATTTATGTTCCCTTAATTAATATATCCTTAAAGGTTGCCATGAAACTTGGATCTATTAAAAATTTATTTGACGTTTGAATTGTCATTTTCAGTATACGTATTCTCCAATTTTTGTTTAGTTTTTTAAAGTGTTTTTTATATACAAAAATGAAAAATTGTAGTAAAAGTTACGAAGAAATTTATGAAATTTAACTAAGGACCGGTTTATTCATCTTTAGTAAAGTTTATCGGGCCGATAACTTTCATGTCTTGGCAACATCTAGTATCCAAAGAAATTATTCGTCAAATAAATCAAAAATGAATAAATCGGCCCTAAATAAAATGTGGCACCCTTAGAATTATTGTTTAATAAATGTATACTATACATTTAACCTTAAATTAAAACTTTAAACGTGTATTACAACAAAACAGTAAAAGATATAAAAAATGTATAGACCTTTTTTTAGGAAATTAACTAATCTTTAATCTGATTTAAAAAGTTATGATAATATTTAAATAAAATCGCAAGTTTTAATTGGAGAATTGAAAGTGTGCATACATATTTTTAATAAACATCCAATTAAAACAAAATTAACCGTAAATTTTTTTTTATTTTGCTCTTAAAATTTTAGTTATGACCTAATTAACAAGAATATAAAAAAAATTAGGTTTCACAGAAAGTCCAAAAATCACCTCTAAGAACAGCACCCTGATATAGGAAATAATAAAGAAATAACCCAATGAATAAAAAAATGTGAAATCTTCTTACCTTATTCAAGTTGCAGACCAATTTTTTCGCCGTAGCGCAATCAGGCGGATTCTGTAGGTAGGCAAACCTCTCCTGCACCAGATTACTCAAATCGTTCGACTCTTTTTCGCGCCATATCGAATACCCGTCCACTTCGGCAATCTGCGCAATATCCCGCACCAAACTCCTTTTGTGCTCGAACCCGGTGCTAATCATGTAACTCAGACTCTCCGACACGTCCGGAGACACGTCTTTCGTTTTTTTCTGCAGCTCCACCAATCCGGAGTGCACGAAGTACCAGAACTCCTGCGCGTTGGTGAAAATACGTCTGCGCAGCTGCTCGTACTGCGTGTTGGGCTCCTCTTTTGGGCTTATGTAGCCCAGATTGTTTTTCGAAAAGCTGTGCTCCGCTTTTGTCAGGCGCATTTGGAAGTTTGCTATCGCCTCTGATTGGTCTTGTTTTAGATTACTGAAAAAACATTTTTTTTCCAATTTTTTTTACTGTTAAGTACCGCCAATACACTAGACTGGGCCAAAAAAATCGACTATTTTTTTTTTTGGAAAGTATATCGAAAATATTGTTTGGGGTGACAAAAAAAATTATGGTGAAAGTTTGAGTCCATAATATTAATATTAAGAGGTCTATCATCGCAATTTTAGATTTTTTTTTCCTGAGCGAGTTTTTGTCTCAGAACTCCCAAATCATTGAGTTTAACAAAATTGACTTAAGAATATTTTTTGAAGAAATTTGAATGCTCTACAAAAAAGGTTTGATTGGAATTTCCCGCCAGATGAACCTTTTTGTTACAATCATGCCTTAAAAATTGGTATAGTTTTACAATTTAACTTTGGAATTTTGTAATTCAAGTAAAAATCTGTACCCTGAAAAAAAACGATAAATATTCTTCTCTACAAAAAAAGTCTTTTATCATTTTTGGCTAAATTCACTCTATCAAAAGTTATTAAAGGTCAAGTTTGAAGTCAAAACGAAATTTTAACCTTGAATAACTTTTGAATGAATTTGGCCAAAAATGTTAAGAGGCTTTTTTTGTAAAGCATTTGATTTCCCATAAGAATATTTATCGGTTTTTTATGGGTACTGATTTTTACATGAATTACAAAATTCCAATTTAAAAGATCAAAATTTTTAACGCAAAAATTTTTTAAGGCATGATTTTAAGGAAACGGTTCATCTGACGGAAAATTTCACTTTATTCTTTTTTGTAGATCATTTAATATTCTTAAAAAAATATTTTTAAGTCAATTTTGTTAAACTCAATGGTTTGGGAGTTCTGAGCCTAAAACTTGCTGAGAAAAAAAAATTAAAATTGCGATGATAGATCTCTTAATATTAATATTATGGACTCAAACTTTCACAATATTTTTTTTGTCACCCCAAACCATATTTTCGATATAGGTACTTTAAAAAAAAATAGTTGATTTTTTGGCCCATTCTACAATACACCCTCTATAATATGTATAATATAAAGCAATAATATTATTAGATAATATAAATTAGCTATAATATGTATTAATAATGCTTGTCATGTTTGTGGTTTTAACATGGGTAATAAAGAAATAAAAAAATTATTTTATCATTTTAATTGTTTCAAAAGTAATTGTTGTATTTTATTTTGTATTATATTTCATAAAAGAATACCATATATTTAATGACCCAAATTGTACAATTAAAACTGTGTTATGTATCAAACAATTATAACTGCTTTATGTATAAAAATAGTTTGTTGTTAGCAAAAAATGTAATTCTATAAAATTAATACAATAAATAATTAAAAAATTGTTCTCTGGGTAGGTACCTACCTACCTAAGTTAATAAAATAAATAATAAAAAAAAATTCTCTATCTAGGTACAGGGTGATCCCCTATAATGTCGCCCCCCTTTAACTTTTTTATTTTAAGTGTCCGAAAAAATTTCAAAGTGTGGTTATGTAGGTACTAAAAAATACTTTTTTTCTACATACCTAGGTATAAAGAAAATTGGAAAATTGATCAGTATACAGGGAAAAACAAAAAGTTTATTTTTTTTTCAATGGATCACCCTATATATGTATTTATTTTTCAATTCCTTGTAAGCAATTCCTTGTAAGCATATTTCATATAACATACCTAAATTCAACCGTTTCTGAAATATTTAAATTATTTTTAAGATAATAAGACATAATGTCACTATAATAATTTATTTTCAATAAAAATTTTGGTATACTGAGTCTTCTTGATTTCTAACAGTTTAAAAAAACATTTAAAGATAACATTTCGAATGCGAATATTTCAGAAACAGTTGAATTTAGGATATGGTTTGTTATATGAATTATGCTCAGAATTTTACATGGAATCGAAAAATAAATTTATATATAGGGCGAACCATTGAAAAAAAATAAACTTTTTGTTTTTCCCTGTATATTGATCAATTTTTCATATTTTTTAATACGTAGAGAAAAAGTATTTTTAAGTACCTGCATAACCACACTTTTAAATTTTTTGGGACACTTAAAATAAAAAAGTTAAAGGGGGGCGACATTATAGGGGATCACCCTGTACCTACCTACAAATGTTATTTATTCTATTATTAAATGTGTTTTTCCAGCAATTTGTATTATTTAATATTAATTTATTAGGTAATATAGGAAATACCTATAGGTATACAGCAAAAATATTAAAATAAAGCAAAAATATAAAAATGTAATAAAAACTTTATTTACAGGTTTTTAATAATTAAATTTGGTAGAAAATACATCACATATAAATATCTTTAATATTTTATTAAAAATAATGTTAAATATTAGAAAATTTGCATATTATAAGTACCTACCTAATTAAACAAGTTGTATGAGATAATTTCAATAGTAAAATATGATAAAAATCACTTACTTTACAGTAATATCCTTAAATATTTCTTGCAATTCGATGTTCTGCCTTTGCAAGGCATCCAAATCAGCCAGGGCTCTGGCCAGTCGTTCTTCAGTTTTGGTTTGCAATGATGAGGCCCCACTATTCAACATGGGAAAGCCAGTTATCACCAATATAATCAGCCATAGGGCCAAGAACACCAACAAAATCCTGTGCCACCCCACAGAACTAATGTATCTAAGCAAAGCACTCATTTTAGCCTATTTCCTATTTACAAAATTTATAGGTTATGTGAGTTGTCAACTAGTTGTCCTACATTAAATCATTTTTCTAATGCAATTATTGCGAGGCGTCGAACTTCATGGTGTCTGAACTCTTACGTGTCGTTAAAAACCAGGATAAAACATGTTTTAATCATCAAAACCACCGAGCGAATCTCCACATACCAAAACTTGTCAATTTTGGGCAATTTAATCGGAGTAGGCAACCAGTGGTGCGCAGATATAATCGAAATTTAATCTTTTATGATTTTCGAATCCAATCAACAGAAAGCGAGACGAAATTAAATTTAACTATTTATAAAATATAATGAAGTTGTACGGTGGTTTAAAAATTGGTTATCAATTATTAATAAATTGAAACCACAGCCTTAACTAAATTATAAACATATATCGGCAACCCAGATTACACTAGCATTTTTTTATTTTATTTCAATATAAATACATATTTTTTAATACTAAATTACAGTTATCTTTAATGCGTTTTAGTTAATTTGTCTAATATTCTTTGTTTTGTCACCTGTCAAATGTAAATATTGATTTATTTAGTGAGGTTATGTTCTGTCAACACAAGATTAGAAATTGGTAATAAAATCGTTATTTTTGGTTGATTTCGGAACGTTTTTTGTGCAATATGTCGGGACAAAGTGGAGTAATAGACGAAGCTGATTTGGCCGACTTAAAAAGCCGCATGAAGCTGATTTCTGAAGCTGATCCTTCACAATATCAAAACGAATTTTCACTGAAAAGATATTTGAGAGCATTTAAAAATGTAGACGATGCATTTCAGGTAAATTGGGATGATTAATTAATGATCTATGGTGATAAGTCGTGTAATTCTAAATGAATTAGAACTTAATTTAACAAATTTAAATATTGTACACATGTAGATCAAAGTAATGTCTTAAAAGTGCACCAGATATAAAAAAGTGCAGAGTGAGACTTAGGTATTGTAATTTTTTAGGCGATATTAAAAACAAACAAATGGAGGCAGGAATATGGGGTAAATGATTTAAATCCTGATTTGCCTTTCATAAAATCCAATCTAGAAGCTAATAAAGCAAGGGTTTTGCGTCATAGAGATATGCAGGGCAGACCTGTCATTTATATTCCCGCCAAAAATCATAGCGCCACCAATAGGAACATAGAGGAGTTGACTAAGTTCATAGTCTATTGTTTGGTAAGGATTTAAATTTTATGAAAAAAGTACCTATAAAGTTTATATTTATAAAATATATTTAATATTGGCACTTTTTTCATATTTTATATGTTAAATTATCATTTGGTATTCTTGAATCACGCTGTATGCATTTTTTATAGGAAGAAGCTTGTAAAAAATGTTTTGAGGAAGTTGTAGACAATTTGTGCATTGTTTTTGATCTTGAAGGTTTTGGGTTGAGCTGTATGGACTATCAAGTAGTGAAAAACTTGATTTGGTTGTTAAGTAAGCACTATCCAGAAAGGCTGGGAGTTTGTTTGATTATAAACGCGCCTGGCCTTTTTACAGGGTGTTGGACAGTCATAAAAGGATGGTAAGTAATGGTAGTTGCTTATATTCTTGTCACTAAGATTTTGTGTTGCCTACATGACAACCTAAATGATAAATAATACACAGTGTAGCATAATGGTGTGTCCCTGTATATTTCCTTGAAAAATAATATAAAAATAATTATTGTTACTTACGCAATAAAATTATTTCCTATAAAACATTATTTTTATTGTTTACAGGCTTGATGAGAATACAACAAGCAAAGTGGAATTTGTAAATTCAGACGTCGAATTATGTAAATATTTAATACCTGATATATTACCGACAAAAGTGTAATTTTTAATTGTTTTAATTTGGTTTTAACTAATTAATTATTGTCAGGGTAACATATCACATTAATTTTATTAATGCATAAATACTATTAGCCTTAAGTTTGTGTAATCTTCTAATAAGTCAGTAATATTTATTTATTTAATAATTATTGTTAATTGTATTTTACTATTGTTTAAGAATATTTATAAACTACCTCTAAACAAATTGACAGCTTTACTACTAATTACTATTAAAAATGTGTACCTATATAAATTTATCTATTATATGTAACTTTGTAAAATTAAAAGGCAAAAAATAATATGTTTTAAACTTTAATTGATCTCTATTTTTTATTTAAAACCTAAAAAAAAAAAAAAAAATATAAATAAAAAATTTACAGATTTTACTACTAGTAGTCCATTTTTAACAAAATTAACCTCTTTGGTCTCAAGGTGCTTATCTCTTGTCCAGGTAACTTTTTTAAAACTGTATATTTGAGAGAGTTTTAAGACATCTTTCGTTGGTTTTGGGACATTTCTTGAAAACTTTCCAGACGATTTTAGTTTGTTTTTATTTCAAAGATGACAATATAATAATAACATTATAATAACATTTTATATTATTTAGCCACTTTAAATAATATTAATAATAAAAAGTTGCATTGCATTTATTATATCATCCATCCATTTTTAACAAAATTAACCTCTTTGGTCTCAAGGTGCTTATCTCTTGTCCAGGTAACTTTTTTAAAACTGTATATTTGAGAGAGTTTTAAGACATCTTTGGTTGGTTTTGGGACATTTCTTGAAAACTTTCCAGACGATTTTAGTTTGTTTTTATTTCAAAGATGACAATATAATAATAACATTTTATAATAATTAGCCACTTTAAATAATATTTATATTAAAAAGTTGCATTGCATTTATTGAATCATCCTTTAATTATTAAATTAACTAATACTGTTAGAAAAGGTATGAACTCATAATCTAGTAAATAAAGAATTGTTTACATATAAATAAATAAATAATTTAAATAAAAATTGTGGTGAAAGGCTTAACGCTTCGTCCTTGCCTGTCATTTTTTGTGGGATTCTCTACGATTTTTATTAACAATTCATAGTAGTTATTATTTTAATACTGTAATTACACACTAATTTTGTTTTTCATTTCATATAATACGATATTTATGCACATTCGTTCGATAGCTACGTGACTGCGGAATTTCTCATTGTTTTATTTGTACCTACTGGGAAAACATTTTTTTTATTTTATTGTTTATTTTTATTAATTGATTTTTAATAGGCCCAGTGGCGTAGGAAATAATCATAATATAGTAAGCACTTTCAAATATACCTGCATTAAAATGTATATTTTTTCAGATCAATTAGGCTAGCTAGCTATAGATATATCTATAGAATCTATAGTATAGATAGATTAGGCTATAGCTATAGCTATAGCTATAGCCTAATCTATCTATACTATAGATTCTATAGATATATCTATAGATAGATTAGGATGGTAGTATATATAAAAGTTTTAAATAATTTTTCTATCAACCCTTAAAATGCTAATGAGTATTGTTGAAATTACCATTTTGCAGTGTAGAGATGAACTTTTTAGGGTAATTTGAGCAATCAAATACTTTAACAGAAAATTATTGGTATTGGTATGACTATGGTCAAAAATAAATAGACTTTTTAGCGTCTTTTTTGCTACTTAAACCAAAATATTTATAGTCCTGATGGAAAATTTAAAATATAAATTTGAAAATAGGTATATATTTCTACTGTATATACGAGGTGTGTTCAGAAAATATCGGGAATTTGAATATATATCCAATGGGGACTATTTTGAAGGCGACAACATTAATGTAGACGAATAAATAAAAATTTGTTTCAAAAAAATAAAATTCCCGATATTTTCTGAAATATTATGCACATGTGCCAGCTCTTTCAATACTCGAAACATTTCTAAAACTCGATCTTTGGGATATCCCTTAGTTCTTTCAGCGATGCGCTTTTAATGTCATCTATGCTTGCAAAACGACGACCCTTTAAGGTTCTCTTTATTTTTGGGAATAGGAAAAAGTCAGACAGAGGCATGTCTGGCGAATATGGAGGGTGGGGCATCATTACAGTATTGTTTTTGGCCAAAAATTTTGTTCAAAATTTAACAATTTTGGAACAAATTTTGCTGCCACGCGTTTCATACCCAAAACATTCGAAAAAATTTCACGGGATGAGCCAATCGATATACCAACATCATCAGCGACTTCTCTGATGGTTTATAACCATTTCTTCCACTTTTTCCATGTTTTTATCGGTTGTTAATGTGCTTGTGCGTTTAGGGCGTTCGTCATCTTCAACGTCTTCACGGCCATCTTGGAAACTCTTATACCACTTGTAAAGTTGTTTTGCTTATAGCAGACTCAGGCCTTAGGCCTTTGTTAACATTTCACAGAATTTATTTCATTTTTTAAGCAAAATTGGATACAAATTCCTTGATCCATTTCTTTTAACGAACGAAAAATCACCGAGCTCATAAAACACGTCTAACCTTAGCGGCTGCCACAGACAAAGTAAACAATATAAACAGATAAAATTTTTATCGTACTTCGGGGGCATGTATACCAACATAATAAAGACAATTTTATGACAACCGGACCCTCTGAACCCGCGAAATTTAACAATTCCCGTTATTTTCTGAACACACCTCGTATAGTGTCAATGTTTTTAAATAATAATACAGGGAACACTTGCTGAATCAGCAAACCCATAACGTTTTTGTAATCAGCAGCAATTTCGTTGTAATACATTTTTTAACAAATTAATAAACAACACTAGGTACCTATATACCGGTATACCGTATACCTACTTAAATGTAAAATTAAATCATTTGATGCGTTTCCGCAAATGCCTATAACAGTTGCTGGTACTCGTTCGATAAATTTTTCGCACGCTAAAATACAGAACCGATATTTTTATTTGTTTTCGTTGCTTCTTTATATACAGCTACTCCTGCGATCTAGACACCGTCGCAAGCAAGCCTTGATGCGAAGATGTTCTTGTCAAGGAGTGGTGCGATTTTTGTGATCTGTATTTTTTTCGTTTGTTTTGTTTTCAACAGTGCTCTCGAGAACCCGTACTGTCGCCTGGATTGTGACTATGTGGTGAAGTTTTTCAAACATACCGTTTGCGAGCGCCAAAATGAGGTAAGAAGGATTATTTTCGAATTTATATATTTTTGTCTGAGAGTTCCTAGATGGTTTAATTTATTTTAAACTAAATTGTCAAATTTAATTAATTAAAATATAATATAAAACCCCATGTATCCTATCCTTATTACTTACTTTCAATGTTGTAATAATTATAATTATTATTATTAATTTAGCTAGTGAACCTGCGCTCACAAAAATAAAAAATATAAGTATTAAAAGTATAATGGGAATTAAATTTTATGTTGTATTTAATTTTTCCTAATTTTATGATTTAATATATTATAAGTGGCTTAGGTATTTATATTTTAATGATTTTTTTCTTGTTAATGTTTAGGTATTCAAATTATTTAATAATATTGGTAAAATATTTAATTTAATAAGCAATAAATTAAAAAAAAATAATTTTAAGGAACAAAAAAATAAAAAACAATAAATAAAAATATATCAAACAATTATAATAATTATAATAACACCACAATGTATATTTCGGGTGATTCTAGACGTCACGCCACAGTAATTCATAAAATGATAAATCGGCAAAAAAGAAAAAATCGTTATTATTGCCAAAAATCGGTAGAAACATAATTGAGGAGCATCCGTGCAAAACCGGCTAAATCCATTTTATTCAGTTTTTTTATTTCGCATATTTGGGTTCATTTCTATCGACAACCAAGATAATTCTGTTTAAATCCGACTAAATCCATGTTAAAATCACATTTAAAAGTTAGCTTTAGGAGCAAAACCGACCAAATCCACGTTTTTATAGATAATTTATAAATAATAATATGTGGCTTGGATATGTCGATACTACTACTAAAATTTGTTCTGTTTTTTCATGTTTGCACCAAATTTATTTTGTTAATATTTTTGAATAATAAAGGTTTTTTTTCACATTCGTTTTTTATTCGGTTTTCGAGCAAAACCGGCTATATACAAATTTTTTTTGAAATTTTGGCCTTAATTTAAAGTTTTTGAAATCGAAAGTATGTCTTATAAATCAAGTACCACAAAGCCCACAAACTCAAGTTTGCTTTTTCTTTTATCTGTAAAGGCCAGGAAACCGAGAGTTTTTGCCATTTTCCCAACATTTTATTAAAGTGGATATAGCCGGTTTTGCATGGATGCTCCTAAATTATTGACGAAAATCAAAGTATTTGGGTAGGTTCCACAACACCATCGGAAAAGCAGTCACGTGTTGTAAATGACATATAAAATCATATATGAAAAATCCCTGCTGGTTCCAATATGATACTATATGATTTTTGAAACAGACATTACATATAAGACCATATTCATATTCATTTCTACACAGGCATATAAAAAACTGACCATATACAATTTATTACCTATAAATTCATATTCATTCATATATGATTTAAGATGGATTTTCATATAAATTTCTGTCATATAAAACCATATAAACACATACAGTTCATAATACTGATTACATATTGAATCCATAGTGTCATATAACAAACTATAAAAACATATAGAAACACTGTACGGATTCTATATGTTTCTACTGGTCATTTTCAACAGGTGTACACCTCTTTAAAAGAGGTGCGACTGCTTTTCCGATGGCAGCGCTAGTGGGCAGTCGAAAGAGCCTTAAAAATAATACTTATTGCATTCTTCAAGCAATACACATACATACAAATATATATAGGTATATATATCGACATATGAAAAAGTTGTATCACCCAAAACGTTTCGGGTGTTACAGTTTTTAATCAAGAAAAACATATCAAATTAGTCTCATGCTTAGATATTATAAATATTATTACACTAATCAATCTGTAAGGTATAACAATAAAACAATCACATGATTTTTCGTTTCGGGTGTTACAGTGGCAAAGTAAGAAGAAAACACACTTATAACGTGATAATTATCAATTTTTTCGGGACTGTGACGCAATCCACCAATACTACGACAAATAATCTCGAATCACAACGTGGCAAAACCGTTAACGGTTAACCGTCAATTGACAGTTATTTTTTTTCGTATTTCGAATAGTTAGAGGCACAATGGTCATCCAGCCAGTTCACTTGATTACAGATTTTGAAGACTAATTAACTTAAAAACTACGCGGTTCTTCTAGTTTTTTTGCCGCACATTACTTATAATTTGGATTTTTTTCTTTCAAAATTCATCCCATTTAATGCGAAATGAACATATTTATTTTTTCACCCTCAGTATCGTTTGTCATGGAATGATTTAAGTTATGACAATCGATTTGACAAATGTCACAACTAACAAATAAACAATATTTGCGAAGCAGGCTAACTTATCCCGGCGCATTCGCCATTTTTGAAAGGTCTCTTATTTTATAAATTCGTCATTATAGAAAATATTTTTTTTATTTGTGTAAAAAAATGTTTTATTAAAAATTAATTCTAGGGAATGTTTGTCTAACTCTACTATCCAATAATTGTAGACAAACATTCACAAATTTTACAAGATAATCGATATGATCATATCAACAAACCACTTTTTTTTTCTCTATAGAAATGCAGTGCCGGTCCTTTATGCGGTCCAGATTTTCGAGTTGTCAAACTGACAGATGCAGATAGACAGTACATCTTAGATATCCACAACTATTTGAGGAACAAGGTGGCCTTGGGCTACGAAAAAAGGAACAACCAGCCGCCTGCGGCCAACATGAACATCATGGTAAAAAAAGAGTACACTCACAAACAACAGTAATGCTTGCCAAAATTATCTTATTAATTTTGAATTGGATAGTATTATTAATTAAAATTATAGATTATTAAATTCTCTACAAAAAAGGTTTTACACATTTTGTACCTACAATTAACCTTATTTAATTATAATTATAAAAAATGTTTAAGTTAAATAAGCACTTTTGTCCACGAGTGTACCATTCTATTTAATATTCCGTGGTGATTACAGTAAAAAACTGTTTAATCGATTTTTGCAAAATTATCTATAATTAAACATACGATTATACCTATCTATGTATGACTTGAAGGTATGAATGTTTGACCTTATAAAATAATTATAATTGTTTATTGAATACATTTTCCGCATTTTATTATTTATTAATTTTTTTATTAATTACCTAATTGCCATTGAAAAAATTGTATTTATTATTATTTTTAGACATATAACATGGAATTAGAATATATAGCGCAATGTTGGGCCAACGCTTGCAACGGGAATCCCCTAAATCACGATCAATGTCGAAGGACGAGTAAATATACTACATTCACATATTGAAAAAAATCGGGATCATTTTTAGATATTCTTAATAACTTTAAAAACTGCATTTTTTTAAGAAATCACCAAATATAGTTTTAAGGATACGAGTGATTGAACATTTTCCCGATCTTTTTTGTTTTGTGAATATGCCATATCATATATTTTTTAGGTGAATATTCGCATGTAGGTCAAAATTTAGGTTTCATTTACAGTTCTATATCAGAAATTAATATTGTTAAGGCTCTAAAACAATTAATTTTGATATGGTATGATGAAGTGGCCCTTTTTAAAAATGAATGGATTAATTCGACTGAAGATAGGTACGCGTTTTTAACAGTTTTATTGTAAAGTTTTCATTTTGTTGTACTTTAGAAATGGAATCAAAGTGGGCCATTACACTCAGATGCTATGGGCAGACACAATCGAAATAGGCTGCGCAACAACGTACTATACAACGCCATCTGACAAAAATTTAACGAACGTCGATCTATGGCATAATTTGCTTTTAGTGTGTAATTACGGCCCTGGCGGCAATTATATAGGGGCCCCCTTGTACGAAATAGGCCGCCCCACCTCCAACTGCCCCAAAGGAACGAAAAGGAATGAGAAATTTAAAGGATTATGCGGGAAAAGTAAACATGTTAAATCATCAAGAAAGCTATTCGAAATAGGCGACTTAGCGGTTAGTTTAAATCAGTTGTTCGTCTAAAAAATTGTTATATTTACGATTGTATTACTTATTAACTAAATTAGTTACAAATAAACGTTAAAACCCCAAAAATGTAGTTTTGTTATACAAAACCCTCACATAGGCAACGTTGCAATAGAGACGTGACAACGCCGCCGTGCATCAGCTGTGCGTTGCCACTATTTATTAAATATTTATCAAATATTTACGATAACGATGTAAAACGCGCGTTAATAAATAAATATATTTAACTATAGTTATGTTATCAAATTAACAAAATGACATACCTGTCATTAAATGAGTTGTTCCCATCAAAATTAAGTTTGTTTATATTTATTGGTTATATTTTGCTGTTTGTAAACCAGGGTGAGTTCTTATTTTTATCAATTCTTGCTTGTTTCATTTATCCTTGCTTGTCAAATCTCAGGCTTAGTAATTGTATTTACTTAACCTAACATATAGGTATTGTTGACGTAAGCATAGAAAAAGGACGTAAGAATGACATATCCTCATAATGCAAGGCTAATTTGATCTATGGATTATTGCTATTAACTGCTGTTGCCTTGGTTACGATATACAGTGTGTTTTGCATGTAATTAGTGAGATTTGGGTTGCATAAATAACGATTATATTTTTAGGCTTATTGGTAACCGCATCGCAAAAATCTGATAATAAATATGACTATAATATTGTAACTGTTGTATTATTAACGGAAGTGTTAAAATTGATAGCTTCTTCAATTTTGTATTGCAAAGAGTAAGTTTTACTTTATTGCAGTACTTATATTAAATCGTAATGTGTAGTATAATTTAGTCATTTAAAATATTATAAGGAATGGTTATAAACCGCTATAGGGGCATTCCACGTTACTCGGTAATTTTTGTCCCGCCTGTCACAATTAAAAATTGTGAGTAAAAACAGGAAGTTATAAAATTAATATTTTATAATAGTATTTTTATTGTGCTTAAACTTATTAAAAGCATAATAAAACAATATTTTTAAATAAATTTAATAACGTATAGTTTTTACTCACAATTTTTAATTGTGACGGGCGGGACATAAATCCCCGAGTAACGTGGAATGACTTAATATTCTAGATATTTTTAAATATTAACAATTTATAATAAGTATACAAATTTTAAATAAAATACTATAAAATTAAGGCTAAAGTAAAATAGCAAATGACTGGAATTTTCTTTTTTATATTTTTGTTTTAATGATTTTTCATTTTTGCAATTTTTAAAATTTGTATACAATTTTTAAAATGTCTATTATTTTTTTTATTTTTATGATACTCTAAAAAATAGTATCATTTTAGTTTTTTATTTAATCCTATCAAAAACACAACTTTTAAAACTGGTGAAATTATAAATATAATTAAACTAAATTCCTTTATGTTATAGTTTTCCAGTAAAATCGCTAGTCATTGACGTGGTAAAAAATAAAACAGTACTACTGCTGTATTTTATACCAGCATTTTTATACTGCTTATACAACAACCTTTCCTTCATAAATCTTTCTACATTCGACCCAACAACATACTACCTGCTGCTACAACTCAGAGTGGTAGTCACAGGAATATTATTTCAAGTAAGATAATAATAATAATATAAATAACACTTGAAACATACTATTTTAGATTATCTTCAAGAAAACCCTAAGTAAAAAACAGTGGTTATCACTATTCATACTCACATTGGGTTGCATGCTAAAACAAATAAATTTTACGGAACCTGATAAAAATGATATCAGTACAAAATCTGGATCTATGGATTATGGGATCAGCGCCATATTTATATTTGTACAGATTATCTGCTCCTGTTTAGCTGGCGTCTATAACGAATATTTACTGAAAAATCAAGGTGCTGATGTGAATATCTACGTACAAAACGTATTTATGTATTTGGACTCGATAATATGTAACGTGATTCTACTAACAATCACAGGAGGCATTTTAGACGCCTTTACGTATAAAAGTATAACCAAAGTTCTGCACTACAAAGTATTACTGGTGATGTGCAACAATGCAGCCATCGGAATTGTCACTAGCTTTTTCCTAAAAACCCTAAACTCCATCCTTAAAACCTTTGCCAGTGCTTTGGAGCTGGTCCTGACCGCGGTGCTAAGTTATATATTTTTCAGTATCCCTATTTATTTGAACACTGTATTAGCCATTCTCACGGTTATGTTTGCCATTTATTTGTATTCGCAGAATCCTGTTAACAATGCACAAAAAAACAGTTCTAAGAGTGTGGAACAAAAGCAGTTATTAGAGGAAGTTTAGATGTAAATGCCATTTATAAATTTTTAAAAATTTAGGTATTTAAAAAAAATTATTTTAAAAAGAACATTCAAATACTGAGGAAGAATTAAAGAATTTCAAACTTGATGATAATTTTTACATTTTAGAAAATTTAGGGTTATGAAGGGAATATTTGACTTTTTAATGGTATTAACAGTTTTTATTTAAAAGAAAAATGTTTCCAAAATATACATTGTATTCAAATCACTGTGATTTTGCAAACTTGTACTTAATTATATTGCTTAATTTACTTATTATTAATAAATTAATTTGTAAATAAAATATTTAGTTTAAATAAATATACATTGCCATCGTTTTGTAGTTTTATTTCTTATAACTTCTATATTGACATCCATGGTAAAAGAACTGTTAACTGACATTTTTATGTATTTGGAATACTGACTAAATTCACTGTCTTTGAGATTTTCAAAAGAACGCATTCGTTATTTATAACAGCGACACAAAAAAGATAAAGCCTTATAAGTTATAACTTACAAATTCAAACATGCAGTACCATCTAGCAGCAAATACGGTCATGTGAATAAAACGTCGGAACAACGTTCAGTTATTATTTTTAGCCTAAAAATTAACATTAATGGCTATTTAAGACAATTTTATAACACAAAAAAAACAACATTTGTTCAATATCATTTTCTTTGGCTACATAAAAGTTTAATTCAATTTTTATAAGATCGCAAATATTGGATTTTGCCCAAGGGACATACGACGGTCATGTGAAACAAGAGTTTTAAAACCAAAGTTCTGCACTACAAAAAAAAATAAAAAATTCATAGGATATTGAACTTTTGGTATTATAAATCAATAAAAAATATTCCTGTCTAGTAAAATATAAAAAAAATGATGGCTAATATAAAGGTTTTAGGTTTAATACCCAGGGTATTTTAAAAGTTACTGTTACTATATGCCTAATAATCCTATTTCGGAATAAAAAATAAAATCATGCCAAATCATTTTTATTACTCCAAATTAACTAGTAATGATAAAAATATTTTTAGGGCAATTATAAAGTAATCTAGGATACAGAATAATTGTTTTTTACACAATAAAAAAGTATATCTGGTAAATGATCTATAAAAAATAATGAAGGCTTATTTACCAAATAACCTACCTATATATAAATAAAAAATCAACCTTTGAAGTGCGCGTTCTAAAAAAATAATCAAGATGAAATCATTGATTTTGTTTTTAAGTGTTTGTATCTCGATCAAATATTCGACAGCATGCGTAAGTAGATATGAGAAATTTAATTAAGACGCATTTAAAGTTTCCTACTTATAAAATAAAAAACATTTTTAATAAGTTGTTCCTTAACATTTTAATCTGTTTCCTCAGATTTGTTTATTAAATGAAATATCTAACAACAATAGTTTGTTGTTGGTCGCAAGAACTAAAATTCGACTAAACAAATTGGTTAATTCTACTCTCAGAAACAGTCAAATATGGTGACTAATCTTAAATTGGTCAAACTTTATTTTTTCTACTCCCACCTTTAAAACGCCCTTTATCGTACATGTTTCCATGACACTAAGTGACCTTTTAGATACACATTGACAAATTGTGGCTTTATGGCGCTTTAGTCACGGACTGAAGTTAGCAACAGGTTTTTAGTCACGGGCTGAAGTTAGTTTTAAGTTTGTTGACAGTTGTCAAATGTCATACAATTGTTAAAATAAATTGCCTTTCTTGTAAAATAATACTAAATGTGAACATTATTTTATTATCTCAATACAAAGATACAAAAGTATTAAATAGTTTCTCAACGCCAATATTTGAAAAGTTTATATGAACATTGTACTGACCTTTTAATTTCGCCGGCAGTAAACTATAACTTAAATTTGGGCACGGACTCCACTGTAAAGCGCTCATAAAACATTTTCTTTACTTTCACTGTGAAATTCACCGGCAATTTTCAAGAAATAAATTTCGATTTATAACCTTTATAATTGTGTTTATAAAAATTTGACACACAGATTCCCCTATTGTTTCATAGATGGCGCTGTATACAAATTTTTGATTTAAATCATTTGAAGATAATAATAAGTATTTGTCGTAGAAAAAGTATAGTATGCACCTCGTTTATAAACTTTTCTATAAACTCATTAATTTAAGCAATTCGTGTATAAAATGGCGTTTATCAAACTTTATACATAATATACTATTATTATAAACATTCAATTTTTTTTAGTTTCTTAAGAAACTTTCTTGACCCATTACTGGTAATATTCATAAGAAAAAAAATTGTTCTTACATCTCGCCTCTGTTGGCTTACCAACCCAGTATATAAGCTCAGGGAGTCCTTTGTTTTGGGTGTGTTTTACTACACCAAGTTGCCCGACACTGATGAGACCCATAACTACAGACTATAAAACATTAACACGATTTATAATCATTATAAACCCAATGCAATTTTTTCTTGTTTTTGCTTTACAATTAACAGAATTTTGCGTATTTATACTATGATATGGGCCCGATTTATTATTGATAGCACCTTCCTGCATTTTAGAACGGTTATTCCATTACACTGCATTCCTATCAGAATTGCGTACCAAATGGTGTGATTTCAGTGGCTGATAAGGGCACAGTTACTCTTGATAAGGACTGCAATTTGGTCCTGAATGGATGCATGAATATGAAGGGATTCAAAACTGCTCAGGTATAAAAATAATAAGCATAAGAATCATAATTATGTTTAATCTTTAAAATTTCAGGGGAAATATACAATCAAAAAAGCCCCCCTGCCACCCATAGAAGGCGAATTTAACATGTGCGAACTTGGAGCCGAGACTGGTTTGCCAGTTGAAAAAGTTTTGGAAATCTACGGCATGCCGAAAAAATGTCCAATGCCAGCAGTAAGTACTATGTAGTATACTCCACACCCAAAAGTCAAACCTTGACATTTGAATACAAGTAATTAAGGTTACCTATTTGTCATTTTAACGCAAATTTCGTCTATTTTCTAAAAATAATGCTATATAAAGTTCATTCTTTTTTTTCTGGACTGCGGCAACGTTGCAAATTTAGGGTTTTGGTTGGTAAATACAGTTGTCAAGTTGGTCGCAATGATTAGAGCAAACTAAACTAGTTATAAATCTGATGGTGATTATGTATAAATTATTGTGGGTTACATTGTGCAGTTGTCAAGTTGAGTTGTCGAAATTCGTAGTTAAAAATGCAATTAATTTGGCTTTGGTGGTGCTTGGATGAGTAAAATCATATAAAAAAGTAGTTAAATATAGGTTGCTTTACGGCCCAGAAGAGAAAGTATTCCTAGCGGAAAATAATCTTCGCTTTGAAAAGACTTTATATAAAAGAAATTAAAATTTTTTTTGAACGTAAATGTTGTCCAATGGTGAATAATGTGAAAATAATGTGTGATGTAATATTTATAAATCCAAATTCGTTACTTTTTTACTTCAAAAATGTCCATAAGGCGATGTACCTTTTCTCCCATTGTGGCATTTGGCATAATTTCCGAGATAATTTCATCAAAATGAAGTTTTGCCCTCAAAAGGGATTTTACATTCGAATTGGTTGCTATTATTTTTGGCAGTGATATTTTAACAAAAAGCATGAGTGCTGGTGGCAACAAAAATCCGAGTCGAAGAGGAGGATTTTTGCACCTGCACGAATGCATTTTGTTAAAAAATATTACTTAGCATTGTGTTTTTTTGATTTTTTTTACAGGAAAAATTAGATGCCCGAATGGTATTTGACAAGACTATTTCATGAGTAACAGTTAACAATTAAAATATAAATTGCAATTTTTGGTGACAACAGCTGTCAAGTTTTGCCGCGGGTAAACTCGAAAAAACTGCTGACAGGTGCTGTCACACAGTTTTTTCACCTAGAAACCATTTGTAATTCAAAATTGCGCGTTTGTGAATGGTGGAAATTAAGACGAGGGAAATAGTCAATAATAAATATTATTGTCAATTTGACAGTGTCAAAGTATTTAATTAAATTCTTTAGCAGAAGTACCATTTTTAAATACTAAAAATACTAAGTCAAACTGGCATAAGCCACCAATCTAACAAAAAAATACGGGTCCAGATAAAAAAATGAACTGTATGAATTTTTGTGTTTTAAATTAGGACCTACAGGAAAAATACATTGTATTATTTTCAGAAAATAAGACGAGAACTGACAGATACATAACCTAAATTATTTGTCTTCAAATAAAAAATAATATCTACAAAATATTTAAAAATAAAGCTTGATCGTGATTTTAAAAAATAATCTTTATTTTGTAGAAAAAAATATGCGGAGGACCTGGCCAAAAATTAAATCTATCGAAATACAAAAATCAACTTGGCATGGCAGCTGGAAAAACCGACTTAAAATTGGAATTAACGCACGATAATGGAAAATCCTGTATTGAAGCCAGTATCTCAATAAGTAAGGCCAAAAAAGGATAAAATACTATCTAATAAACATTTTAGAGATAGTATTACTATTATATAATAGAGATGAATAAACGTTTTTTAATTGAATTTGTATTATTTGTTTTATTTTTTATTATCAGTTTTATAATAAAAATATTAATACCTATAAATGCATACTATAAACCTGATTATACACCGTCTAATGTTATCTGCTCACCATTGCTACCATTCTAACTTCGTTTTAATTGTAGCTACAAACTCCGTTAGCAAATTTTTTTCCTAAATATTCACAAAAATATCTTTTTTTTAATGTATATTTTTATTATAATTATTTCAAGAAAAAAATATCACCTCATACAAATAAAATAAAATGACCCAAAATTAAGTACAATCCGGAATAGTCGGTAATGTAACTGGCAATCGTTCTCGAAAAGATAGAAATTGTATTTACGTTTTTTATTATTTAACATATAAGGAAAATAATTTTGCAAAACTCCTTATTGTTTATTTGCTTTTGTTTATTGGGGAAAAGGATTATAAGGTACCAAAACTAAATATCTCATAAACATATAATCTTTTTAAATATAAAATTCAAATTATAAAATTATATATAAAGGCATTAGTCTTTTTTTCATTTTTGCAAAACGATTCAAAACCTTATCAATATTTATTTTTATATCCCTATGTACATGTAACATTCTTTCTACCCGAAGCCAAGTCTTTATTTTTCTTTTATTATGCCACACTTTAAAAACTCTTCATATAGGGCTACTTGCATTAGGTATTCTTTGGTCATTATTCCCTGTTTACCTTTTTTAATGTTTTTTTATTGTATTTTTGTTGTGCCTACGGATTTTTCTATGTGAGAAGGTATAAGGGCGATTTTTCGTTAAATGTACATTTTGTATATATATTTTGTCCAGGCAGGTCAATTTGATCGATTTTTTTTTCCTTTGTGGTAGAACAGTGTAATATACTGCAAAAAAATTCTATAAGTTTATAAAATTTAATAACAAAAATAAACTTTAGAGAAATAAAACTTATAGGGTTAATCTGAAATAGGGAAGGAACACAAGGAAGAAATGAAATATTGTCCTCCTTCTAACGCATCTTCCTGAACGTTTTATGACACATTGCTTTTGACTTTTTCAAACGTTATTTTTCAGAAATACTGTTTAATGTAAATATCTTTCGGCATTTGTTTGGAATTTCTACTATGCTATAATATAAAATGAAATTAAAAAAGTTAACTTCTAAAACAAGAGTTGTATGTAGCGTTTTGTAAAAGACACCAAAAGTGTACGCAAAAAAATCTTACCTTTAAAATATTTACAATAAAATTCACACACTTTACACGTGCTCACTTGTTGTTGCCGAACTATCAAACATGTATGCCCTCTAGAAATAACACAATAGTATCTCTATCTCGTGTCTCTATTTCGAAGCAGTCGGCATAGAAGACGACGTTAGGAAAAAGACAAGATTTTTGAATGTCAACTTTAATATTTTTTTCTGTTTAAACTACTTTGTAGAAAACTATTTTATTTTTATATACGAATAAAAGAAATTTACATTGTTCAAAAATAATTTATTTTTTCAGAAGAAAGCTGCAAAGAAGAAGAATATAATAATTTAAATTAAAAAATCGCAGTTAGGTTACAGGACATTTCACCTAGTTTTTCTGCCAAATAGTTTTGTATTTATTATATTTATATATAATAAATACAAAACTTATCAACAAAGGTCAAAAATAAAAATAAAATTAGCTGGGGACAGCAAATGTACATTTAACGAAAATTTGCTCATAAACCTGAAGGCTTAGTAGGCTTGGTGAATTTCGGAATTACGAGTTTTCAGTATTGCGAGTAGCGTCGTTTAATTATTATTAAAATACTTATCCAAATTTCGCAGATACCTACCCCTTGTTTCCTCGTAATTTGTCTCTTTTAGTTTCCCGCCAATTTGCACTGACCAGTGAGATGTTTATGCACATTAATTGGGATTCGCGAAACTATACACTGTTGTCCGAAACCTTAAAGAATAATTACCTGGATTTAAAATGAACTGTTTCTATGCCACTATGGTTAGATTTTTGAATCTTAGTGAAGGTACTATTGGACATTTTAGTCCAATTTAACCCAAAATTATGTTTGCCTTTTTTGGACTTACCTGCCTATTTGGATGCCTTTTTAGGAGCCTTTTTCAATTTTTAAGTGTCTCTAATAATAATATAAGTATATTACATTTACTTTTTTAATTAAACTAGATTCAATAATAATTGAAACAAGTTATTGTAACATTGTGCAAATATTTTTAATATATCCACCAACTACTTCAAAAATTTTATCAGATAGTATTATTAATTTTCTGATGTCCTATAATATTAATTGAAATTCCAAATTATAGTGTTGTGGTGGTAGCCGAAATGGGAACACTGGGGTTTTTTGTGTTTTTTCTAGTTTTAGTTAATTTTAGCGCAAACGCAGTTTTGGAGTTTGATAAATATGTGAATATACTGCAAAATACAGAGGGGGTGTCTCAAAAATGTTTAGACCAAATTAATAGTTTGGATTTGGAAACAAAGGTCAAGAGTAAGTTTTTCGATTGTTTGATTTAGTTTAAATTTAATAATTAATGTAGGTAAGTGTATGGGGAATTTCATACCGAATTTACCTATCAAATAAGTTTGCATGAAATTTGGATATGTTTTCAAAAATACAAATTTTTTATATTTTACGATTTTCTTTTTTAATCGCCCATAACTTTTTACAAAATTAATCGGGTTGGACATTTTCTTCAATTTTTTTGCGTTTTAATTTAGTTTTCAAAAAAAAAATTAGAAAATATTTGCTTTTGTTTAATTTTCTATTAAAATCCCGTTTTTAAGGATGTGTGGATTAATTCTCATAAAACTTAACTCAATTTTTAAGTTTCAAGGGTCAACTGTTTGTTCTAATTTTTTCTATTTTTTTAAATTTTTGAAAATTTTGCACGAAAAAGTAGTTTTTGATTTTTCAACATTCTACTGGTAATTAAATTAGTAGATATGGACAAACAAATCAAAAATAGCCTGCAAATTCGATATATGTATATACTTTCGACTTTTGTAGAAGAAGAATAAAATAAATTATTTAAACGACAGAAAAAACAAATATAATATTTTAATAAAAATATTAGCTAAAAAAGAATAGAACTATTTGAAAAGCATATTCATAACAAGAAATTGAGTTTTCAGAAATTAGGAATATAGTTGGCCTACAATTGGGTCAAGTTTAAAAACTTTTCGGCAAAACCCCAGTAGCAAATTCATTTGATAGGTAAATTTGGCATGAAAATTCCATAATAGAATGCAAATAGTAGGTACCTAGGTACCTACCCTGATAGCAAAATTTGATTTTAAGAATCTTCTAAGAAGATATGACCCGGAATAATGGAATATTCTTAGAACCTTGCAATTAGATTATTAAAACCTTCCTAAAAAGCATCCTAAGAACATTTTAAGAATACGTTTTTGGAATGTTCAAAGAAGGTTTCTTATGGAGCTTCTAGGAAGCTTTTGTGAATATTTCCAAATATGTCAGATACCCACTTTCTAATATGTTGTATTCTACATTCGTAAAATTCTTCAGGAGGCGACAAATACGCCTCACTGTCATAATAGGACAGTGAAATGTATTTGTCGTCCCCTTTGCGACATATTAATAATATTATACATTTATTTAAAAATATTAAATAAACAATTTGACCTCTAAACCATAAGTTGTATGACATTATTTCATAAAAAGTAAAATTTGAAAATTCTGTGGGATAAGTCAGATTAGATTGAAGTTGAAGATAGTTAGGATTATTATACATAAAAATGTTAATTCAGAAATAAAAAATCGGTATACAAATTAATAAATATTTATTTTTAACATAAAATAAAATAGGTACCTATAGTAAAAGTATTTTTGTTATCGAATATTGTTTTAATTTGACAAATAACTATAAAAAAATATTTTGGATTGTGTTTTTTACTTAGTATTTAATACTAATTACTAATTAGGTACTTAACTATAGGTAACTGAACTAAATATGCTTAACAGGAATATTCCTAAATGAACTTTCTATAGCAATTACTTTCTTAACATATAGCATATGTTTAGAGTACACTAATTTTTACCACTAAAACTTTTCACCTTCTAAGAACCTGCCTATAGGCCAGTAAGAATATTCTTAGGATCATGCTATATGTCTTTTAAGCATGTTCTTTAGAAGAAATATAGCATGATCCTAAGAATATTCTTACTGGAAGGTTTTAAAAACATTCTTAGAATAAAGTGTGCTATCAGGGTAACGTTCATAATTATTTTTAGTGTTTGATGCAAGTTCCAAATTAATATATCCAGGGATGTTGCAAACTTATCCAGTGGATATGGGCATGTATGACGAATGCATTGCTTTAGACTTCACGAATAAAAGTACTAGAACTTTGGGAAAACATTGTGTTTTAGTTGGCACTACTTTGTCAATACCAACAAGTGCTGTTGATTTGTTTAAGGTACTAAATGTTTAATGATGATGGAACAGAACTTCTAATTCCTATAGACTTGTGTCCAAAAATGATATACGCGAAATAATAAATTAATAACCATAAAAAAAATTCCGTATTTTAACTTTTTTAGTAAGCATTTTTAGGCACATGCCCATAGAAACTTTTTTGTTCCTGTATTACCCTCATGGTTAAACTTTATAGGTATGTATATTTGTTATCAAAAACTTTTTTTAAGCATTCAAATAATGTTGTTGCAAAAGCTGCAAATATAAATGCTACCCAAAAATTTTTTAAAATTTCTGCTGGCTATTGTGTCCCCGATCAATGTTCAAAAAAGGATCTTGACATTTTATTCAAACAATATGAACTCGGGGGTGTGGTAACTTTTAATTTTTCCAATGCAGTTTGTACCACTAAGGAAACTGGGAAGGAACTGGACGCTTGGGATTTTGGATTCATGTAAGCACTGACTGTATTTTTTTTATTATTTTCTGATTTTTTTCGTGGTATGTATTTGGTTACATTTTAATTTTATTTCTTTGCCAAAAGTTAAAAATAATATAAACCAAACTATTTCAACCAAAATATCGCAAAACAAAATGGTCAGTATTAGTTTTTAAAATCCTTTTAAATTTCAGAACTCTATTGGCCATCATTGGATGTCTTATTATTATTAATACTACATATGATATATATCAGGATTGGTTTTCATGTAAGAATAAACTTAAATTATTATATTTCCAATAAAATGGACAACTGACAAATGTATCTAAATGTATAAGCAACAAATGGCAAAGACCAATTACATAATGTTATTAATATGAGATACCTACTCCACAAAGAATCTAATTATTCCCTCACTTTTATAACCTAATGCTGCTACGATGCGTATACACCTAAAATGAAAATACAGTACCTATACATAATATGTATATGGGTAACTTATTAAAACTTTTCGAATAAAAAAGTTCGAGTCTTTAAAATTTTATTATTTCAAACTACTTATTTTGAGTTACCCCAATATTTTATTGGGAGTCACTCCTATGAAGTGGGATATATAGTTGGACCGTCCAACTTGCACGATTATAACGACTGAAATTAACGTTGTTAAAGAGTACAGTAGACATTGACAAAAGTCTCTTGCAAGCATTTGTTGAATTGGAGTTACTTCATTGGTTGCGAATAAATTTAGATTAAGAAACTTCCTTGACTATATCAATCCATGTTTCGCAGATTTTACTTTACTGTATTTTAGTGCCGAAACAGAATGTTTTGATTGCATTCTCTCTGTACACAAATGCACAAAAACTGGTACATATAGGAAAATCATCAAAAGAACAGATCCAAGTTTTTCATGGGCTAAAGTTTATCAGTATGATGTGGATTATTGCTGGTCATGGTTTTGTGGCATTTCGCTCGCTTCCTGTAATTAATCCAAAGGATGTTTTGGCCGTAAGTTAATAAGTTAAATTTGATGAAAATATTAGGTTTACTATTTTTTAGTGGAACTCCAATATTTATAGTCAATACATAACAGCTGCCCATTTAGCAGTCGATACTTTTTTTTATATATCTGGGTTTTTACTACCATACATATATATAAAAATGTTTAAAGGAAAGGATTTTCTATTTCAACTTAAGTCAGTGCCTATGAGTTACGTTCATAGATACATAAGGTAATGAGTTCAGCAAAAAGGCTTCTTATAGAATTTATTTTGTAGGTTAACCCCTGCTTTAGCAATGATGTATTTATACACAATTACTTTAATGAGACGTATTGGAGGAGGTCCCTTTTATGGCCTACAAGTTAATGCACTTGTAGCCAGCTGTAAAAGAAATGCTTTACCATTTTTTTTCTATTACCAAAATTATAATAACTATAAAGATTTTGTAAGTTGTATGCAGTAGAGAGAGGTTAAAAGGCAACATCTTTTGAAACCCACTTTACTTTACCAATTTATTTTACTTAACACTTGCTTGCTTTTTAGTGCATGTCCCAAACTTGGTATTTATCGGCGGATATGCAGATGTTTTGGTTGTCCCCCATTATCTTATTACCAACTGCATATTTTGTAACGAAAAAATACAAAGCAGTTATGTTATCATTGATTAGTTTTTGTATTTTTACTGTTATTTTACCAATGATTATTAAGTTTATTTATCAAGATTATGATAAGTAAGTCCAAAAAAGTATATTTTAAAAAATTTGTCAATTTATGTACCAGAAATGGTGTTAGTGGAAGATAATTTTTTAACTTACCTAATCTGTTTTTTTTAGTGAATATGATACGCATTCAAGGTTGTGTAATTATTTTATTGGTTTTACCTTTGGTGTTTTTATGAGGGAAAATGGTGACAAGCCCTTCATTTTTAAGAAAAATGTAAGAATTTTAACAAAATTTACTCACTTGGTGCAAAAAATCCACGTCTATACGCTAAAGAAGTATCGCTAGTAGCTGTTATCATCGTAACAAAAGTACGATCAGCTGTCAGACGCTTATGTTACAAACGAGTGTTTTTGAGAATAAAGCCGGAAAATGTTAAAAAATATCGGAAAAAAACCGTGGCTCGATTTGTTGTGTTGTTGGGTGTATTTCGAGAGGAAATCCTGGGCTGAGTTTTTACCGGTTTTCCAATAAACCGTGTTAATCCGTATGAAGAAATAAATTGCATACAGTCTCTGTAAATATAAATTGTACCTATTACCTAGATACAATAAATACACATTTTAGTAGTGATTAGCGTGAAACGTGTAAACATTTCAATTCAGTAAAAATCGTCAAACAAATAAGTCGTCTAAATTTAAACATCATTTAGCATTATTAAAAGCGTTGATTAAGAAAGTCTCCATTCAACCGTAAAATATCATTATATTATGTATTATATATATTATTATGTTGCCATGAATTCGTAGGTATATTTTGTTGTTCAGTTGTCGGCGTTTTTTAAAGAACTCAAATATAAAAAGGTTGATTTTAAGGTTATGTTTGTGCAAACATTATTGTTTACTAATTTCTTAAAAATGTCCATACTTAAATATAAATTATATTAGGTAAAGTTATCATTACTTAATTCTGCACCAACAAATGTACTTACCGAATTGGATCCTTTGGCAAAACATGAAAATGCAACGATCTATAGTTCTTGAATTTTATTTACAATTAAAAACACAATAATTCACCATGATCCCTTTGATAAAATAAACACACTAACGTAACTATATAAGCATTTAAGCGTTAAGTTCTTAATCAATGATATAAGAAATAATCAATCGAAATCGAGTACTAAAAAAGTTTTTTATTTTTTTCCTTGCAACGTAAAACATAAATAACGTGCGCGATTTAGTTGTGCAATTGAACAAAATTTGTCGAGTAAGACTTTACTCCTCTCTTTTGTGAAAAACTACATATTTATTTAAAAATGATGTATAATCTGTGCCTTAAATGTATTGTTGACAATTCTTGAATTCACGTAATGCTATCGAAGTCTACCAGATGGCGTGCGCGTTGCAAAAACCCGATACTTCTTTAGCGTATTCGATCCAAGTTTGTCGGATTTGTACCATGACATGCCTAAAATAATTTCAAGCCAAAATGATGAAAAGCTAAAATAATGACAATCTGAAATGTACAGAAACTACACTGACAAGAAGCTATAATAAAGACATGCTTAAAAAATGACAAGCTCTTGGGTAGGTACTTCATATAGAGAAGAGAGCGGTGTTCAGATAGATTGGTAAGACAAGCGGTAGGCAGACGAGAAAATAAACTAAAATGATGACGAGCCAAGGTGATGACAAGCTAAAAAGGATAAAATGCCAAAATGGTGACAAGCTAAACTGACTACGAGTTAAAGTGATAAAAGGAAAAACCATGTACATATATCTTAAAATAAAAATATCTACCATAGCATCGTCAGTAAAGAGTCAACCTACATTAAAAAAACATAAAAATCGCTTATTGACAGTTTTTTAATTCGATTTGGCGCGTCTTGGGAGTTGATTTTTTTTGCACTTGGTGTATCTTTAATAAAATTTAAAAAATATATCAATTTTTTTTAGAAATATCTAAAAAACTTTCTACTATGGTGCCTGGCTCTAGCTTCTATGTACGTTCTAGTTTACTTAAACGGTTGGATATACATCGGTAATGGTACATACGCCGGTAAAACGGTAATTGAATCCCTGATGAGGCCCATATGGTGTTTGGGCCTCACGTGGATCGTATACTCATGTTTCCATGGATATGGAGGTGTGGTTAACTGGATTTTGACCAGACCAATTCTCCAAGTTGGAAGTAGATTGATTTACTGCATGTACCTAATGCATAATACTGTTATAGTACATAATGTTCTGATGTTTAGCAGGAAGGAGATTTTTAGTGACTGGAGAGAGGTAATAATAGTTATTTACATAGGTTATAAATTTGCAATGCAATGTTTAATTTTTTGTTTTAGTTCAATTTATGGTGTGGTTACTTCATTGTAACTCTGATGGTAGCATTTGTTTGGACTTTGGCCTTTGAATCGCCCGTTATAATTCTTGAAAAAGTTATATTCGGTGGAGGTGGAAAGAAAAAACAACACCCTCAACCCCCTGTGGAAAAAACTATCAAAGCCTGAACATACTTCATGCATAAATCATGCCAAATAATTTTATAACTTCAAATTAACTCATTAGGATACAGAATAATTATTTTTTACACCATAAAAATGTATTTCTAGTAAATGATCTAAAAATTAATCAAGGCTTATTTACTAAATAACCCTGACAACAATCTAGATTTCCTGGTTAACTCATGATGACAACACGCGTGATTTTTTTTATCACACTTGATATCATAAGTGCATGCACATGGTGATATTATGGTGATATCATTCACACGGACGATGAATTGAATACTTTATTTAATTTAATTTAAAACTATACAAGTAAAATTAATTGATGACTGTTTCTTAGTTTAAGATGATTTGCACAGCTTGGAACGATTGTAGATATCAAAAATGTAGGAAATGTCCATATATAATGATACCCTTGGTGTTGCTCATTAAGGGCTTGGGTGTGAATTTTGATTCTTTTAATCAGCATATAAAAATGACTGCAAACAGGTTTTATACGCAGAAATATGAAAGAATTCAATGCTACCTGAACAATATGTATATGTGTATATGTCATTTGTCCTGAGGGAATAGTGTATTCTCAGATAAGGCACTTATGGGGTTGATCCCTGATAGCAAAATTTAATTCTAAAAATCTTCTAAGAAGATATGATCCGGAATAATGAAATATTCTTAGAACCTTCCCTTATTGCTAAGAATGTTCTTAGGGACTTTTAAAACATTCAATAGATACCCTTTTAATGATGCAATTAGATTCTTAGAAGCTTCTTAAAACCTTCCTAAAAAGCATTCTAAGAACATTTTAAGAATACGTTTTTGGGATGTTCTTAGAAGGTTTCTTATGGAGCTTCTAGGAAGCTTTTGAGAATATTTCCAAATATGTCAGATACCCACGTTCTAATATGTTGGATTCTACATTCTTAAAATTCTTCAAGAGGCGACAAATACGCCTCACTGTCATAATATGACAGTGAAATGTATTTGTCGTCCCCTTAAAAAGTTTTGCCACATATTAATATAATTATTTAAAAATATTAAATAAACTATTTGACCTCTAAACCATAAGTTGTATGACATTATTTCATAAAAAGTAAAATTGGAAAATTTTGTGGGATAAGTCAGATTAGATTGAAGTTGAAGATAGTTAGGATTATTATACATAAAAATGTTAATTTAGAAATAAAAAATCGGTATACAAATTAATAAATATTTATTTTGAACATAAAATAAAATATAAAAAAACTAAATATTTCCTTATAAAATAATTCTTCATAAAAGAAAAAATCAAATAGTTCTTGATAAAAAAAACATTTTTTATTGTATTTAAGTTACATAGAAGATTTTATGTAAAAGCCGGATAATTTAGATACCTATAGTAAAAGTATTTGACAGTATTTGACAAATAACTATAAAAAAATATTTTGGGTTGTGTTTTTTACTTAGTATTTAATACTAAGTATAGGTACCTTTATACGTAGATTATGGTATTATATAGGTACCTAACTGAACTGAATATGCTTAACAGAATGTTCCAGGAATGTTACTAAATGAACTTTCTATTGCAATTACTTTCTCAACATTCTAAGCATATGTTTAGAGTGGATTAATTTTTACCACTAAACTTTGCACCTTCTAAGAACCTGCATAAAGGCCTTAGGATTATGCTATATTTCTTTTAAGCATGTTCTTTAGAAGAATAATAGCATGATCCTAAGAATATTCTCACTGGAAGGTTTAAAAAACATTCTTAGAATAAACTGTGCTATCAGGGATCCATTGACCCTCAGGAGGGAAAAAGCTCAACTAGTGTTTTTATATAAACTCATCAATAATTCTATAAACTGTAGTGCATTGCTAAGCAGAATTAACTTTCATGTACCTGTAAGGCATACTGGACACTAGAGTTTATTCCATATAAAAACCCATAGTACCAAATACGGCCAATCCATGCATATCTATTAACGGAATGTTTGTAGTGGCGATAAGTACTTTGTGGATCTCTTCTGTAACTCTCTAACCAAGTTTAAAAGTAATATCAACAATTGGTCTAGTAATATGTAGTTTTTGTTATTAAAATTGTACTTATATTTTTTAATGGTTTACCCGTAAATACTATAAAACCCTGGGGTGGCAAAACAAAACATTATGTGGTCTATGGAAGAAACACTG